TTTTTTCCTCTCCACGGATAGTTCGTCACGGGATACTCGTCCCTTGTTCATCGCTTCGAATTTCACTCGCTTGCGGTGATACCTTATGTACATACCATCGACCGACTACAAGTTTGGAACAGCGTAGCATGTAAAGGTCCGGTCCAGAAATAGGATTAATGCAAGAAAAACGTAGACAATCATTTTCGGGAAAGGGGCTTACACCTATACAACATAATTGTAGTATACCTGCCGTTTATATAGTCCGTGACGTATATCTTTTGAAAAGCAGGTGCATCATCCAGCAGACATCACTCGTAGGTATTTATCTTGCATATTTGAAAATAAAAAAGCCCCTTGTAAAATTTAACACCGTATACATCGTTATACCTTGTCCAATAGTCCCTGTGAGCCGTCGACGTGTTCCTCTCCAAGATAGCATCTACCAGCCCCACTCGTTGAAATAAAACATCGTCCGCGTAACCCACTGGTGGCCAGAGCCGCGAACGCGTGTGTTATATCTATACCCCCCCCCGCCCATCTCGCTCCCTAAATCATCCTCGAATGTTCCCTCAAAAGTATCTGGGTGATGGGTATCATCGGCCATACCAAGCCAAACACATACGGATTCACACGCCACTGCAACCGTGATCGAGCTCTCGTATCCGATATCGCCCCGACGATCTGAGTTATGGGCGCAGATAGAGAGCCGATTATCGAAGCCAGAGGCTTGAATTCGCGTTTTCGATTCGCATACGTATACACACGTACATAGATACCGATGTATGCTATGTATTTGTATGTGTGTGCATGTGGCAGAGGGGGGGTGGGGTGTGAGCCGTACACGTGCGGGGCGCTTTATCTCATCGACGATCTCTCTCTCTCTCCGCTCGTCGAAACGAGCCCCGCGCGTGTGCCCTGCGGATTCTCTTAGCCATTCATATATGCATCGTGGAACGGCCCTTTCTCGCGTACCTATAGGTGGTACACACAACTAGCGTTAGACTTGCATTGTTGTTATACCTTTTAGCTGTAATATGCAGGCCAAGCTTGTCAGAAACGTATGTATAGGTAAGGCCCATCCGACCCTCTTGAAATAATAACTTTCTATTAAGGGCGCGATGGAGATCGTTATACATATATATAATATATACTGCGCCTCTATACGTAACTGCTCAGCCGATCGAGAGGGAATCGGGAGTGTATATGTCTGTATTGTCACCACACGGGGCTCCATTTCAAATTAGCTTCCAGTCGATAAATTATTGGGAACGAGCGGGGGGCTGCGTGTGGTTCTTCGGTATATACGGCTGCTGGTTATTTTTTGTCCCGATCGAGATCGGCATGTCAAACAGATTTTACGTAATTAAACGCGAATGGCCATCCAATTGCAAACAAAACGTAAATATGTATATGGTTGTCTGTTTCGAGATAAAAAAAATTTTGCGTACCAACCTGTATATATATACAAGTACAAACCTTTGAAGCTTTTTAAGGTATATGGTTTGACGCAACAACTATAGTTGCATGTATGCAACGAGTAGTACAACGTCACGTTGGTGCATGGAATTAACGTTGCTTAAATCCCCCCCCCAAAAAAAAAAAAAAAAAAAAGTGTTAAAGACTTCGAGAGTGGGGGAGAGAGGGTAAGGGAAGAAGGGCCCGGAGAAATAACGAGAGAGAGAGAGAGAGAGAGCACCGCAGGTATACGTTGACGGACACGGGACACGCGAGCGAGTACTTTTGCGAGGAGTGACCCCCTGATTGACTTGTAGATGAGGCGACAGCCGATATCCAAGAAAGCTGTACATATACCCAAATGGGGAAGGGGGTGTACACGAGTTACCCCGATACGAGAGTTTCACGGGACTTTACATGCTTTACCCCTACCTATTGGTGTATACCTGTCCCTTTATCTTCTTTTCTTTTTGGAGCTTTTGGTTGAAGCGACGTAGGTTCATGTACCTACACCGTTCAAGTTGGAGTATTTTGCGAAAATAAAATAAAATCTTGGTAGTTTCTTCCCCAATAAGAGAAAAGACAATCAACATAGCGAGTTTTCAAATATTTTAAGTATACATATATATATATGTACTACATAACAAAGCAATGAGTGCAGTCCCCCATAGATTGTGGTGCGCTCCTGATGGATACCCACGACTGTCCATTGGCTGTGTAATAGAGTTTGGCTTTATCTGAGTTGATTAATCAGGATCGACGGTAACCCAGTAGACATTTGTATATATGTATATACATTAAAATGTACATACGCGCGTGGACGCATTGTTTGGAAAACGATCTTTCTCTGCCTCCCTCCCGCGTGTGTGATATTCGTGTGTAACGACATTGTATCGTGACGAGTCGAGCGTAACGCTATGCCTCGTCCCGTACACCTATATACTTGTGCACACATACACGTGCGAGTCACGGTCGACTGATGGAGGGTCCATGGATGTATACGACTGGTTTTTGATTCACATGTGTACAACAGCAAAGATTCGACTCAACTGTGAGGTCTGTAAAATATGTATTCAAATTTTTTATTTTTTTTTTATTTATTTATTTTTTTTTTTTTATGAATAATCATTTTTCTATGTATCCTATAGTCTTTGGTTGATTTATTTGTACCCATGTACACAACTTGTGGACAGCGGTTTTTTGAGTTGCGCTGTTTCCTTCTTTATCTCCCTTTTTTTTATTCGTTACAATATGATTTACGTGTACTGTACTTACCAAGATTAAGCGTGTACAAAGGGGTACAAAAAATTACAAAAAAAAAATCACGTATGTTGATTTATAAAATTTTATTTTTTTACATTGATTTTAATCGTCATAGATATGAGTTAAACAAATAGTATAAGAGAAGGAAATCCAAAAGAGCAATTTCAATAGTTAACCAATTTCTGCGCGTATTTTTTTTTACGCCTTGGGGGAGTCCCAATTTTTGTCTCCAATAGTGTATTTTTAACAAACCGACGAACTCCATGTTCAACGTCAGCATAAACAGTTTGTTGATACAATGATGAAACGTAATTTAAGTCTATAAATTTGAAACAGTTAAATCGTTTGTTGCGCTATATTAACCACTTTACCGTGTTCATGAAATAGTTTGAAAAATTATATACTCATCACTATTAAAAATTTGCCAAGCTATTAACGATGTAAGCCTTGAATATTTTTCATCATTACCAAAATAACGGAGATAAGAAAAAAAAAAAAAAAAAAAAAATTTCTATAATTGCACAGGGCGTGGGTGTACACCTTTATTTGCTTTACATATGTGGCTACACGTACAATTTAGGACAAACGATGACATTTTTCAATCCACGTTGCATCCTTCGATACGATGATCAAACATTTATTATCCAAATAACCGGCAAAATTTAACTACAAGTGCAACTGTATGTGCATGCATGTACATAATCGCTATACATAACAAACAAGAACCACCGAGCCCAACCCCATCTGCCAACCCACCCCGAAACCACCGCCCATTTGGTAAACTTTTGTATCATCCCCCGTTCACTTAACGCGCGACCCTACCGATTCATCCCTCCGGCTGACGATGCGTCGTACATCACGAGGGTGTGTGTACCAACCGAGGCAAGGGCGCAAGACGACCGAGACCCAGTGGCGCCCCGATCCACCCCCTCGGCGCATCCGTCGGAACCTCGCTCGGCTGTGGCATATTGATTCGGGGATGAGAGAGAGAGAGGTAACGTCACCGAGGGAGTTGCGAGACTTTTCTCTCTCCCTCGCGGGTAAAAGCGATAGCGCAGGGGTGGGGCGGAGGGAGCGCTCGGCCGAGCTCCCCCCGCGGAACGGCAGTTGAAGCGAGAGTACAGGACAGGCCGTCGGCGCGAGCGAGCGGCCAAGCAGGGGGCCTCCGCGTAGGATAACCCAAAAACAAGGGACAAACGGCCCCGCGTACGCGAAACCCCCTCGGTCGCGCGTGTTAATATAATATTTGTTGCATCCACGCCGCGTGTGTGTGTTTGTGTGTATGGATATAACAAGTGGAAGAAGGAAAAAGAAAAAGAGAAAGAAAAAAAAGGGAAACCCAACGAGGCAACTATATCCCTACCGTGCGTTCGTCCCCCCATTCACATGTCGCACCTTCCCCTATTCCTTACACGCGATAACCATTATAAGTACATCATCCCTACATGCGTGATGCACCTTAAAGTCGACCCTTTATCCTTGCCAACGCCAGCCTTGTCGCAACAATTGTCCCCGTCGTCGTCACCATCGCCAAGCTGTCCTCGCCAACGGTGGTAGTACACTGGACACTGTAACACACACACACACACACCCACACCATATATATATATATATACATATTATACAATATAGTATCAGTATAGTAACAGCAGCTACAGTAGTCGTCCACACACTAGGGGGGCTCGTTGTATCGAATGTATAGGTGTTGGTGGGTCGTGGTCGTCGTGTAGTAGTAGTAGTAGTAGTAGCAGCTGGTGGTGGTGGTGGTGGTGGTGTTAGTGGTGGGCTTACATTGCCACGAGCTGAGCCGGGGGGAGCTGGTGCTGCCGGCGCCGCCAGCAGGGGCGGGCGGCTCCTACTACTACGACGAGGGGGAACAACGGGATACGGTGGAACCACAACAACAACAACAACAACAACAACAACAGGAGGAGGAGGAGCAGGATTACCAGGATTGCCAGCAGGAGGAGCCGCAGCCTCGTCATCGGCAATACCCCCATCATTATCGGCCGCGGGAAGCCGCGGGAGTCGAGGGCGGAAGGGGAAGCAGCAGCGGCCGCCACCATCACCGTCTCCGGTCGCATCGACACGAGGAGTGGGCCGAGGGCTCGGAACGTTACTGCAACTGCTGTGGCTCGACACCTGCAGCAACCCAAGTCGGCGGCGGTGGTGGTGGTGGTGTTGGGGTCGAGGAGGACCGTTGCTGTCGGTGCAGCCGGCGGCTGCGACGGCACGAGCATAAGCACCAGCGGTGGCAGCGTCGCTGCTGCTGCGGCCGCTGCTCCGAGAAAATGGTCATGATGGCCGGCAACAACAGCATGGACGAGCACGAGCGCAAGGTCGTCGTCGAATTTTGCCACCTGCTCGAGAAGAGCAAGCAGCTGTTCAACGGGCTGCGCGACCTGCCCCAGTACGGGCACAAACAGTGGCAGGCGTACTTTGGCCGCACCTTCGACATTTACACCAAACTATGGAAGTTCCAGCAACAGCACCGGTGAGTCATCCGCGAGACTCCTACACCCTCGACAACCTCCCTTTTAAAAACTCAGCGCCCCCCACCCCCCTTCGAATGCGTATGTGTTTGTGTGTGCGCGCAGCTTACCTCACCCCGCGCTCTACGCCCCGAGAGCTTCCGTATTTTTCTTCCCTCTTTTTTTCGCTTCTTTTCATTTCTTTTGTTTCCAAAGAGCACCCCTAAACTCGGTTGTTGCTTTTTCCGCGCCAGTGTGATTCTTCCTCTCGTCCGCCAGAAGGGTGGTTATTTTATATTCTCTCCCCGTTCTTTTATTCCCACCTTTTTTTTCCTCCCCCTATTGTGGTGCACTTTATACATTGTGCGCTCTGGAGACTCTCTTTTCCCTGCATCCAGTGAGCAGTGTGGCTTCGCGACGTTTATCCCGTGGCTATTGTTTTCGACTCGATTAATATTTAGTTGAAAAATCAACCCCTCCCCTCGAGTGATGAGTTATAATTGCCGCGAGTGGCTGAGCTGATTTTTTAAGGGTTAAAAAGAAGAAGTGACCAAAAGGTTCGATGGTAATGGTGTGCACGTTAGGGCGCATCGGTTACAGCTGGCGCCCGAGAAGGTGGGGGTGTGTATGATACATGTAAGGTAGACTCGGGAATGTATAACTGGCTGGTGGCGTGAAATTTCCTTGGAAGCTGCCCAATTCTTAAAAATAATTTTTTTTCCATATAAATATGCTAATATCTACCCCCTCGGAAAATGGCTTCCCGACACCTTGCCCCTCGCACGTATCGTGTACGTTCATGCCCTGCTTCCATGCGGCTATCGTGAGTCTTGTTTATAGATTGAGCTTTGAGCTTTCATTGCTACTGCTGGTGGTGGTAGGGTCGGGTGGAGGAAAAGGAGGGGGGGGGGGGTCATTTGGGTAAAGTGGGTAAGGCATCGCGAGAGAGTTTCATTGAGGCTAGCGCCACGAGATGGATACTACGATTTTAGGACGCACGTGCCGAAATGTATACATTGCGAAGTGCGAGCAACAAAGTACGAGCTGTAGAGATTAAAAAACATTTTTGACCGCAGCTCGGAAACATGGTACGATCTTAAATCTTCAACCCAAAGACGCTCGTCTACTATTCGCTTCTGAAAAGCCACTTGATTTTCAGCATCATTGCATCTATGTATTTCTTATGAAAAACCTTTTTGAAGCTCTAATGAAAATAACGTATGGTGCATGTCATCACCTAAATCTACGTAAAATAGTGCAAAGGAAAAAAAATTTTCATAGAGAGTAAGCAGAAAACATGCATAATTTCGCGTTACTTCATTGGTATATCATGTAAACCTCAGTCACCCTTAAAATTGGATACATATCATGATGTATTGAGAAAAAAAAAAAAAAAGAGTAGGTATATAATACGCGTACACGCAACGAGTTGTCGAACAATGACAACGGCGACCCACAGCCAGTGGCGGAGGCTCGCGTAACTTTTGCACGCGTCTAACGAGAGACGTTAAACTGCAAAAATCCAAGAAAAAAGCATGCGCCGTTCCGCCAAGACGACAAACATCCCCTGTGCGTATACCCTCACCCTCCGGCACCCAAATAAAGCGGAAAAAACGAAAACGAAGCAAAACAAGCGAAAAAGGTGGGGAGGGGGTGGACACGTATAAAAGATGGGAATAAGTATAAGGGAGAGAAGAAAATTCCAAGCGCAAAATTAATCTCGGGGCACGTTTTGCTCGACAATGCCTTTTCTTCGAGTGAGTGCATGCAGGGGGAAAGAGGGAGGGAGAGAGAGAGAGAGAGGACCGGAGGCGCATTTACTTTTCAACCCCTGGACCAGCACCACTACTCTCTCCCTCTCTCTCTTCATCTGTACGTTAGGTATATGTATACCTATGCGCTACACTCTCAATCTAGTCCGTGGCTCTTCTCTCCTCCTCCTCGTAGCGTTTCTTCTCTCGAGATTTAGAGAGCCTCGGATGCAGCAGCAGTGGGTATTAGAACTGCCGAGCAGAGCACCCACACGCGCGCTGGCCTATGCCCTTTTATTTCCTCCCTCTCGCTCTGGGTCTCGAGACTCTGCTATCTTCGACACGCCTTTCACCAGCCCCTACTCGTATACCACCACCAATGTACATACATATACGGGCTGCAAAGGCTAAGAAGCTGAAGAAGAAGAAGAAGAAGAAGAAGGAGAGAGAGAGAGTCACGCAGCCTCGCCACTTATATTATACATATATACATACGCGAGCAGGGGAAGATCTTCTTCTTCGTCTGCTCATCCTCTATTGCTTTGCTTGCTTTAGGTGCCCCCTTTCGTCCCCCTCGGCTGTACTGTCTTTCTCGAGCCCTACCGTGATCGGAATACGAGAATTGAGTGCGTTTTTCTCCCCACGAAGCCTCGAGACGCTCTGCACAACGCGAAGATGGCATCTCTCTCTCTCTCTTTCTTTCTCTCGCTTCGACTCTTTGCTTTTCTCTACAACCCACCCCCCCCTTTTTTTTTTTCTTTCTTTCTCTAAGGGTAGGTATAGAGGCCCTCGCGTGTCTTTTTCTTTCCCTCTTCTTCGGCTGTGGACGACGAGAAATTGTTGGTTGCCGTTTTTTCTTTTCTTTCCTTTCTCTTCGACTGACGCATTCTTTGTGCACATGTATACGGTACGTCGTCGATTGTGCGCGGAGAAGAAGACTCGCAAATAGACCTCCCCCCACTCGATAATGGTTAAAAATGCATGGGTGTATTTTTACAAGTTATATACACACACACACACGTGCACAGGAGAAAACGTCGGCACCTCGCGGGAATTATGATATATATATATATATGTTACATGTGCTGTATAGATTAACTCGAGGCTTTTGGACGTAAATAGAAATCGAGGTGCGATAATTTTGTTGTAGATAGGCCAAACGTCCAATATGAATGATAATAATACTTACTGTACGAATCACGTATCGCTCGCCGGTGTAAATCCAAGGGTGTATTATACATTTCCATATGTTCACAACTAGAGGGTAGTTTGAGGGGAAAAAAAATATAGTTCAATATTTTATGCACGTGTTGTGTGTAAAAAAAAAAAAAAAAAAAAAAAAAGGTAACTCTTGACTACAGTGTACGCTTTAAAATTGGATTTAAGGCGTGATTAATACATTTTACGATGGGTATGTGTATGTGGGTGCGAGGAAAACGAGCGATGAATTTTTTATTGATTCTCGAAGACCCCGAGACGTTGCGTTTGAACCACCGTCGTGAATTGATAAGGTGGCGTGAGCCAAGATATCAAGATTGAAATATTCTGTGCTTCGATTGAAAGTTCAACATAAATAATTATACTTGTCATAATTACCTGAACTGGTGTGTAGCTGCAAAGAAGGAAATAACTATTGATCTTTGTAATTATCGTATGACACACGTATACCTACGTACTGTCAAACACGTGGTGGGTTGACGTAAGATAGTTTAACAGTAGTATTGAATTTATTGTTAAATATTTATATAAAAGAAAAANTTCAAACCAGTTATAATCATCGTGTGCTCGCTCTCCGCGAGCGTATAAGCGCGCATAAGCCGATTTGTCTAATTTGAGCGTGCGCGAGCCCCTATTATTCGGCCGTAATTTCGCAGATTATCGAAAAACTATCCGACAAGCGCGTTACCCGCTTCTTCGGATTCTTTCCCATGCGCTTGAGAGCATAGACGACTGCGGCATTTTCTTGTCGAGATTATTATACACACGCGTGTCATGGATGTACGTGCCTACGGTACACACCTTTGCTGGTGAATAACTGTCCGTGTAATGGACTGGTCCCCAGAGTCGTAAATGCAAGGGTTATGATTCTTGCGTACTTACCTGTAACAGAAAAACATACAAAAAAGATTATTAACCCCAGTATTGGAAATAGAATGTTGGTACTGACAAAATTTTTACATGTGGATTAAAAAATGTGTTTTAACTGGTACTTTGGCTCATACAGTACATTCATCGGTGATTTTGCATCAATCATTTCCGTACAAAGACAGAGTGTTAGTATTTTCTAATTAAAATGTTTATGGGGTTTGAAGATACAGTCGGCTACTTAGAATCGATTTTTAAGTTTTGCATTAGATTGGGATGTATTAGCTCAATTGCTATGGACAATTTAGATTCTGTGATAGTAAATTGGTCATGTGATTCTTATATTAGAATTTTGTGTACAAGTAGGTAATAAGCATGTAATGTCTTCGTACGTATGAAGGCCATTAACTATTGTCAAAATTAGTTGATTCTCTTTGATAGGAGATTTCTGCACCTCCCCGATTCAGAAATTTTAGATTAACAATAAAAATTATCCGATTAGATCAACAAGTACAAGTAAGAGAGCTTGGGTTGTTATGAAAAAAAATTCATGATGAATTTGTACTACGCCTCTTGTAACTATTACGATGTCAATAAGAGTATTAGCTAGGCATCAGGAATTTGCAAACCCTGACTCAAAATATAAAGAATTTTCCAAACTGGTAAGCGTAGGTTAAAGATCACGAGAGAGGATACACTCGTTCTGTTCAAAATACGCAAATATATGCAGCGAGTGTCACTGGTATTTTGCATATTCCAAGTGACTTAGTTCTCACGATTTCTTGCGGAATGGTAAGAACCAAACGAGTTGGATTAAGAACTTCACCATCCCAACATTCATCGGCGTTTTCCACACCAATGAAACCTCTCGAGTGAAAAGAAAAAAATCACGCAAAATGACACTCTTACCTGCCTGACACTAATACCTCGCGTGAAGTACTCGGTTTTGCCCGAGATCTTTTGCACGTCGAAAGGGATTATCAAAGAAAATCAGAAACTGCACGGGCACTGGGAGGCTCAGGAATTAAAAGCTACAAAGAAACGAGAACAAGACGAGTCCCAACTGCCACTTTGGCACGATGATGGTAACACTTAACCATCTCAAGGCGATAAAAGCAACGGACAATATGATGGTGAAAACAGAAAATACCGCAGGTTCAAAAGACGCAGGTAGCCATAGCTCAGGTAATAGACAAACACCCTTTTATTCCTTGGATTTTGGAAAGAATAAACAAGCGGGACGTGAAGCCCGAGTGAGCCAATTCATCGCAACTCACTGAATTTCAAATGAGAGTCAGGCGACCAGAGTATAAATCCAAGCAGGCCAACACCTCGTAGGTCCAGAACGTTGACTAAAAATAAAAAAACAAAAAAAAAAAAAAACGTATCAACCCGTTTTACAGGTACTATGCGCGATTCATCGTGGTCTGCCTGCTGTTGAACAAAAAAAAGTACGTGCGCGAGCTGGTGCAAGAACTCGACGCCCAAATAGCCGATTACAGCAGCACGTACGAGCCGGACGACCAGGTGGAGTGGAACCTGGTGCTGGACGAGATCAAGGCCTTCGTCAAGGCAGAGTCGGCAGTCGGGGTACTCGACGCGGACACCAATGCCCCGATCGTGCTCACCCACCGGCTGGGTCCGCTCACGTCGCCACCGGTCGAGCGCTCGCCACCCATGTGCCTATCCCTGCAGGAGATCCTCATTATCGGCAACCAAACCGATCAGGTCGGCTTAACATTATTATTCTTTTTCCATACAAATATAATTTGAGAAGAAGACTCGCAAATAGACCTCCCCCCACTCGATAATGGTTAAAAATGCATGGGTGTATTTTTACAAGTTATATACACACACACACACGTGGGAACAACGGGATACGGTGGAACCACAACAACAACAACAACAACAACAACAACAGGAGGAGGAGGAGCAGGATTACCAGGATTGCCAGCAGGAGGAGCCGCAGCCTCGTCATCGGCAATACCCCCATCATTATCGGCCGCGGGAAGCCGCGGGAGTCGANTATTTTTTTCTATTTATTACGTGTTTTCGTTGTCGAAACTAAAATAAATTTGTCCCTAAAATACATTAAACAAACTGGCTCTAACGGTAATGACTTTGTATGACGATGAAAAAAAAACTATGACAATAAGATCCTAAAACGAATTGAGACGCAAGTTCGTTTGGTCGTCGTAGCCGTAGTCTGCCTTGAGTATATCGGCAAATTTTTCGCCGATCGCCATGGCCGGTATGTTGGTGTGGGCCGTGACGATGTTGGGCATGATGGACAGATCGGCCACCCTCAGCCTCTTGATTCCCTTGACCTGAAAACCAACACACGTGAGTTGCTCGTCCCGAAATAGGGGAAAAAAAAAAAAAACTATCGACACCAACCTGCAACCTCGTGTTAACGACCGCGCTGGTGTCGTTCTCCCGGCCCATCTTCGCGGTGCCACAGTGGTGCCAGAACGTGATGGTGAAGGTCCTCAGCGCGCACTCCCAGTAACCATCCGAGTCCGGCTCGTGGTCCTCGCACCCGGGCACCGTGGCGTTGTGCAGCTCCGAGCCGTACCTCCGCATGGCCCTGGTCCTGCTCACCCTAATCGCCAGCCTGATCCCCTCTATGGCCACCCTCACGTCGTCCGGGTCGTCAAAGTAATTGGCGAATATCCTCGGCTTGGCCAGCGGATCCCTACTCCTCAGCGTCAGCCTACCCACGCTCTTGGGCTTCATCAGCAGCGGAAACGTCAGCCACGCGTGCCTGTAGAACTTGTCACCCGCGAAGCGCCTCAGGTGCCGCTCCTTGATCCCAAAGGGCTTGCTCACGAGGTGGCCCGACAACGGGGACAGCGCCGCGAACAGCAACTCGACGTTCGGCGTCTCGTTGTCGGGGGTCGGGTCGTCCACGTTGACGAAGCCGAGAGCCTCGACTCCCCCCGCGGTCGACAACTGGCCGCTCCTGTCGCTGAGGTAGTCGGCGACGTTGGGGTTGGTGGGCAGGAAGAGCTCGGGCAGGACGACGCTCAGCGACTCGTTGACGAGGAAGTAGAGGCCGCCGTAGGCCACGTGGTCCTTGAGGTTCTCGCCGACGGGGGCGTCCCGGAGGACCTGGATGCCGAGGTGGCGGAGGTGCTCGGCGGGGCCGACGCCCGAGAGCATGAGCAGTTGGGGGGAGGCTATGGCCCCGGCCGAGAGGATGACCTCCTTGCGGGCGAGCACCTGGTGCCTGCGGCCGTTTTTCGTGAATTCGACGCCACGGGCGGTCATGGTGGTGGGGTCGATGAGGACCCTGGTGACGCGGCTGTTCATGCTGACGTGGAGGTTCGGTCGTCCCTTGGCGGGGTGGAGGTAGGCGCGGTTGCTGCTGAGCCGCTCGCCGTTGGCTTGGTTGGTCTGGAGGTAAGCGAAGCCGGTCTGCTTGGGGCCGTTGTAGTCGACGTTGGTGGGCAGGCCGAGCTCCGCCCCGGCTTGGACGAAGGCCTCGGCCAGGGGCGACAGGGACACGGGGTTGGCTATGCGCACGGGGCCCCCGACGTTGCGGTACTCGGGGTCGGCCTCGACCGTGTACGCGTCGAAGCTCTCGAGTTTCTTGAACGACCGGAGCATGCCCGCCCACGACCAGTTCTCGTCGCCAGTCAGCTCGTACCACTCGTCGTAGTCGCGCTTGTTGCCTAATACAGTCAAGCATCACTTGTTTATTACACATTTTCTCCACAAGAGTATCTAACGTTTCTGTCACAGATTTTACACGCTTGTCGGTGCGTTGATTAAGTATGCGACAGCCAAGTTTTTAAAAGTGTTAAAAAGTGTTCAGTTCAGCGCAACTGGTTAAATACTTGGTACATCATAGATTGTGTTTTTCCTCAAATTATTATCAGCACTACATATATTTTATGGGAACAAAAAAAAATTCAACTACACACTTAGCTTTAACAGTGTGATTATTGAGAAGGGGGGGTCGAGAGGTTTGTTAATCGATATAGAATCGTGGGGTGGAAAATTTTGGGGTAGCGGTGTAAAAGGTAAAAACTCGGGCAACGTCGTGTAAGGGGTAATTCCTGACACCTAACGCGTTGTGCCGGTATGGCTCAGTTATTACTATAGCCGAAGCTATAACTAGTTTACTGGAGCACTTATTTTAATAATAGCATGCTGTCGTTTCACGGAAAGATAGGGGTGACATTTTTGACGAATTTCACTTATTTACAGCGATCGATTCGACACACATTTTTGCACCGCGTACGTATATCCATGTAATGGCATTTCTCGAAATTTCACGCGATTCGTGAACAATAAATAAAAAATGCATTTAGCCCTTCCTTAGTCGGTCTAAAATTGTCCTTTGATTGAAAGAGAAAAAATAAAAATAAATAAGAATGCAATAGACTGTATACTTATATTTATACCAAAGCGGATAAATAAGGCGGTATAGTTTTTTAATTTTAATTGTGAAAAAGAACGAATCAAGAGGCCCGTAAGTATAACTTTTCTTTTACATTCACTGTGGCGAGCTTACACATATTATTGTAATACACTGTTCATGAAAGTGAAACAAGAGTCATACCCAATAAATACGGTTTTGTTCGTAATTCTTTTAATATTCTCCGTAAACAAAGACTTTTTTTTAATGTATAATATATTAACATTAAATACTAGTGTAGACTTATACACTGAAAACAAAGTAACTGTGATAGTTTAGCATCGCGGACGGACGGATGGGTTGTTGTAATATGGTGCGTGTCATTTTTAACGCTCTTGATTCCCCACAACGGAGTCCGGAAAAACCGGACGCGCACGAAAGGGACAGCAAAACCTGATGCCCGTCATCCAGTTCTCAAAGTTAAAAAGAAGGAAGAGCATCGAAAAAAAAAAAAAGAAAATCCCCAGTGAAGACGAAAGGGGGGGGGGAAGATGCTGCACTGCCAGAGTGAGGAGAAAAAGATAATAACCCCGCTCTCGCTAAATACGCGCGTACACCCGTCTGCACGTAATTTACATTGTACACGCACGAGAACGGGGAGGAAAGTGAAAGGCCCGATTAAGGAGGTTCGTTGAACCCGGGTGGCGTCTTCCTTTTTAGATTCGCGCGTATATATTATTGTCCCTCGAAAACCCGTTTCATCATTTATCTCACCTCCCCCCCCCCTCTGCCACCATGTCACGGGCGTTGCTCTCATTCATAATAAAATAATGGGGATCTCCCTCACCCCCCTTTTCCACTTCAAACGGCCATTCATCAACTTACTGATTTCCGACAGTGGCACGCGCCCTCAAAGAGACTACTTTTTTTTTCATGCGTTTATATTTTTGTTTTACGGCGTCACCGATGTCATTGATTTTTCGGCCGTTAGGCGAGCTTTGCGGGTGCGTGTATATAGTATGTACTTTGTGAGTATCGTTGAATGTTTCCGATTAAGAGACAAATGAAATTAATATAAAACTGATCGTTAATGATTTGGCGTTGAAAAAAATCTTTTTCGATTCAGCGAACAACCAAAAAAAAAATCGGTATCGGTATATAGCTTCAAGGTCATTCTGGGCACCAAGTATTAGTTATATCGACGAAACTTACCTCTGACGGCGATCATAAAGTTCAATGTGCTCGTGCCCCCCATGACGCGTCCCATGGCGACCCTGCACTGGTTGTTCTCGATGCCCCGGCAGTACTTGATCGAAGGATCGGTCCGGTAGTCCCAATTGATGTCCTTGTTGAACTGCATGAGTAGGGCGAGCAGCGGCACGTCCATGGTGAGGGTCTCGTGGCCACCGGCTTCGAGCAGTAAGATCTGCTCGTTCTTCAGTTCGCTCATGCGGCTCGCGATCGTCGCTCCCGCGCTACCGGCGCCCACGACGATGAAATCGTACTCTTGCCGATTCACCGGGGTCTCGTCGGGCAGCTCGCGCTCCTGGTACTGCTGGAATTCACGGGACCACTTTTGGTTGCCGGCGCTGAATCTCACGAGGTTCAAGAAACTCTGCACGAGATCGGGAAGGAAGCCGATCGCCGGTGTTGATAGAATTAGACCGATCACTAGAGTTGACAGTAGGGACCATTGTGCCATTTTTTTTTTTTTTTTTTTTTCTTTTCAATTCAAAAAGGAAGGGTTGATTAGGAGGAAGGGGAGAGGGGGTTAGCGAAGACGATGCGTCGATCTCCGAGGCACGCGCACGAGTGAAGACGTCGCCGGGTTACTACACTGCCCTTGTATTCGCACACTCTTGGGTGCTGCTTCCTTTTTTTTTTTTTTTTACTATCATTTGACGTTTTTTTTTCTTTTTAATTTTTTTCAAACTGGTTTTCATCAGCGCTTGCTGGAGGAAACCGGTTTGCGACGGCGGTCCATTGTCGGATCATTACTCGCTCGCGGTTAGATCGAAAAATGAAGATTATCTCACTTTACGTGTGTCGGAACGGAAAAAAAGAATGTGGTTGACGTTACGCGTGTATGCGAAGGTTTGGCAAAAAATTTTTACCGATCCACAGCCACTTTTTTTATGATGACGAATGAAAAAACACGTTATTCCTTCTTACCGTGTATATACATAGTCGTTCGAGCATGTGAACGTATTTGACTTTGAAAATTGGTTTTTAAACGGCTATTAAAGTGTATAGGTATACACATTAGAGATTTCAAAACTAATTTGTAACCGTGAAAAAAAGTCCAGTAAAGTGACAGCAGCACCTACACTGGAAAAATTAAAATTACCGCTCTAAAGTTGTAAATTAGTGGTTTCCTGTTGACTACAGGAAAATTTTTTCAAGAAAACAATAATGTTTATAACTCTAAACTCTATTTTTGACAATGTATCATCTACTTATACACCTGCTTACGATTCTAAAATTGGTAATTTTGTTTTTTACAATCATGATAACTATTGTATAACGAAATTAAACAACAATTTTTGTTCATCATAACATGCGGGAATTCTAAATTTGATAGTAAATATTTTTCTAGATGACCAAAGACTTGTTTATTGAAGAAAAATAAAATAAACTATGTTAACAGCGTTTCGAATATTTAACCAGCCCGTAATAAGTACCATCCAATTCTTTCACACAAATGGCATTTTATTACAACTTTAAAATATTGTCAATGATTATTTAAGAATGGAACTACTAATTATATTTGAATGGTTTTTTTTTTTTTTTTTTTTTAATTAGAAAAAAGGATTCAAAATTTTAGAAAAATATCGTTCAAAATATTTATAAATGGCCCTTAATATAAATTCATATGCCAAAGATTCTCAATGATGAAATGATGGACAAAAACAATAATCAAAACGTAAATTTTGCAGGTAAAATTCAGCGAGCTGTCGATGGACATGTTCAGGATGCTGCAGACCCTCGAGCGCGAGCCCCGGGATGACCCGAACCACCTGCACGACGCCTCGCCGGCCGGCCGAATGCCATTTCGACCCGGCCCCTATCCGATGGAAAACGGGGCTCCGAGGCGCGACAATCCACACAAGTATTTGCTCTACAAGCCGACCTACAGTCAGATCCTCGTTTTTCTCGCCAGTGGCTTCAAGGAACTACCCGCCAACGGGGCGCTTTTGCTTTACCTCTCGGCCGACGGCTGTTTCTCGTCCGTCAAACGGCCGGAGGAAAGTGAGTTTTACACCGGTTCGTCCATTTATTCTATTATTTTCATTTTATTGTTACTTTTCTTCCCTTCTCTTTTCATATTATCATACTTGGTTTTACCATTGGCTTGCATTGTTTCTATACTATATTTGCTTATTAAGTTTGGATACTAAACATGTTTTATACACCAACGCTGTGGAAGAAGAAACGACGATAGTTATAGTTTTGAAAGTTAAGTCACTTTTCTTTTATCTCTTTTACTTATAGCAGGATCGTTTTTATATTTCAATAATATTCTCAAACATATAAGGGAGATGTTACTACATTCGGTTAAAAAATACATTCTGTTAAAAAATTTTGAAAAAGTTTTGAGGTCCATGGAACATAATTGAATTTTTTGCATCTTCAATAATTATTTTTAAAATTAAAATAGCAAAAAAAATTTGGCGAAAAAAAATTACAATAAGCATTAGGGATCTTAATTTAGAAAATAATTAACTTGAAAGTCATGAAAAATGCTAATTATTGATTTGTAATTTTTAAGTTTACTTTTATCTTGAAACTTCGGATGGTTAGAAGTTATGTTTAATAGCTTAAAAGTCAAACACTATTTCATGCAAAAAAAATTACTGTAATTTTAATGAAAACAATAATTAAAAATAACCATACACAGTATTTAACTTGAAATTATACTGAAATATTGATAACCCGAATCAACAGTTATGTTAATTTAGGTATTCAATGCCCACCATAATAATTTAATATTATAACATGGTAAGTGCAAATATTTGAAGTACTTGTAGCTAACTAACTATCGTATTAACTCATGGGAGTTATGAGTCACACCAGTGGCTGAGTTTGTGTGTCTTAAATACAACAAACTTCCATACTGAAAAATGTTTTGAACGTTGAAAAAGATTTAATTCATAATAAATTTTGCACTATCCAAAGGAATATTATAGATAAAACTTTAAATATAAAAGAGAAAATATATTGAACAGAAAAATTTTGTATAANATTTAATTTTATATTTAAATCATTTGACTGGCTTTGGGCTGTTTCATTGAAACCCATAGGGACTGAAACTAGTTGCGATGCTAGATTTCATTAGTTAGAAAACTAATTTTCATAGCTTTCTTTCATCAAGAGCCTCGATAGAGCCTAAATAATAGTTACAAGCATGAGCACACTCAAGGAGCATCGAGCGCCTTTTATACCCCTGGAAAAGAAAAACTCGGACCGAAGGTGTAAAAGTCGCGCAAAAAATCCTACATACGACCGATCGATCGATCGGGGGGTTTTCGAAAACCCCTCTCGCGCACTCATATTTCACGCTCGGGCAACTATACATATATATATATGTCACTTGGGAATTCAAAGCCCACAACACATCGGCATACCGTATACCCTAAGCGGTCCGCATAGCTTCACGGGGAGGCACGTGAAAATCGCCCCGCACGGACTCCCGTTGCGGTATAGACCGTGCGTGTGTGCCGAAACCACCGAGTCGCCAATAATCCGCGTGTAATATCGATACGCTCGTCATCGCCCCCGTTGTTGTACAAGGTATGCATAGAGTTGAGGGAGGGGGGAGCGAACGTGTCGATATATAAGATTATACGCTGTTCAGTCTAGGAGATGGGGAGGGGGGGGCATGGGGGGTCGGTATGTAGGCTATCGCATTTGGCATATTTGTCAAAGGGGCTTCGCTCTTCGCTCGAGCGCCCCCCCCGAACCTTTTATATTAACACACATACGCGCGCCAAACGTGTCATATAGTATGGCCGGGACTCTCTTCCTCCCTTTCTTAGTCTCCATTACAAGCACACGTGCTAGCTACTCTAGTTTTTTTTTTTTATTTTACGCTCACATAGGTGGGCCATATATGTACTTGTCTTGCATTCTATGTCGCTTCTTCTTCTTTTTGCACTTCCCTTGACATGGTTATTGCGGAGGTGTAAGTAGATAGACATACATCATACACACACACACACAGAGGACTTTGTAAGGGAAGAAGCTGATATGCAAGAAAGAGACGAGGTCAAGATTATAACGCGGATCTTCTTCTTCTTGCCGAGTCAGGCTTTCATGGCATTATTGTCTTGGCTGTTGTACATTAGATATATAGCGCTTAAGGGGGTTTGTTATTTTTTCTTCTCTTTTTGATACACTGTGCGATTTGCTTTTTCTCCCCCCTCATCTTAGATGCCGATAGCATGCGTTTTTAGGAGGAAAAAAAAAAAAATTTATCGATATAGACTGCTTTTGAGCCCTGTTCACAGACTTTGATTTTGTTTTGAAAGATGCCTCGTGCTGTTTGGTTATCTGTGAGCAGAGCTCCTGATTTTTTTTTTTTTTTTTTTTTTCTCGCCACAGATAGGATTTCGATTGTTTGCTATAATAGGTATATTATAAGGCACGAAAAACGACGTCAAACGTCCGGTAAAGAGCCTCGCAGCGAAGGAGAGCTGATTCGATTTTATAATCGCGTTACAAGGTAGGGACGGATAATGATTAAAAATTAAAAACAAAAGCGTCACCGCGTAATTAAATAACGCACGCAAAGTGTGTCATCGCCTACTCTCTCTCTCTCTCTCTCTCTTTGCATGACGCGTACCATAATAACCGGAGCATCAAAATTGAATAATATCTGTTTTAGTCGTGGTCGTACATTTATTCGCTCGGAGACGAAACAATTTTGACCGATAAGTCTCGAGTATGGAGACAAAAAAAACAAGTACAAGCAGTAAATCACTACCATTCGAGGGTAAAAGTAGGTACATGTGACTCGGTGGCGCTGGAAACCTGCACGTGCCATTAACTTTGAGATTTATGTAAAACAAAGTTGCCTCGTATCCATGTCGACGATATACATGGGGTATTTACACGTAGAGCTTTTGACATCATTCCAATTTCGCGAGGGTCTTCCGGAAAAAATAAAAAATGAAGCAGCAAAGTGGATTAGCTCCGTATCCTTCGCAACAAACAAAAATTTAGTGTACCATCTATTATGGAAAAAAAAGAAATCAAAGCCCCAGCCGGTCTACCGAAAAAGTGCCGAGGAAGCGGTGCGCACTGACGCGACCTTTTGCTTGGCTCCTGTTACAGCGGGTTACGACCTAGGCGGCGTGGCGACGTCAGCCAAGAACGAGCACGGCCCAGGCAAACGAGGAGCAGGTGGCGGTGGCATCGCCGGTGGTGGCGGTAGCATCGGCGGTCCCGGCATCGGTCCAGTACCCGGTGGCAAGGACCACCACTGCATCTACCCCGGGGATCTGTATCCCTTCACGCGCAAGCCCCTCTTCATCGTCGTCGACTCGGACAACAGCTTCGTGTACCAGCAGATACCGCGCTTCTTCGGCCAACCTCTGATGGTACTGATGTCGCCCCAGGACACGCCGGCCGGCTTGAGGGAGCTCAGGCACGCCGGCAGCCTATTCACCTTGTTTTTACACTCGCCGCTAGCCGCCTTTTGCCTTATATGCAACGTAGCGAGTCTGCAGTTTCATCACTGGGAGCGCTGCCAGCGTTACGTCGAGCAGTTCCTCGTCGAGGCCTGCCGGCTCGTCCTCAGATCGAGATGCGGTGAGTATCGTGTCAGCATAACCTATAACCTATCCCTCTGGGGGAATTCTTTTATTGCTCTAGCACGTCGAGTTATAAAGACGAGTGTGACCTCTTGACATTATCTTTTTTTCGCACGCGCTGCCGATTTTGATAAATTTCCATGTACCGATATATATATATGCACGCGTATGAAAATTTTCCTCATGGCTTATGTATATATTTGTGTGCTCTTTGTGCTTGCCGGACAATTTTCAAGGAAGAAAAAAATGTCCGAGCTCGCGTTCGGGCAAAGAATCTCAAAACTAGGTCCACTTGTAACGTATACATGTATACCGTATTGGAAGAAAGAAAAGAATACAGTAGAGTCTTGTTCCTAGTTTTGTGGATAGGTATAGCGATACACGTACACATAAGTTTATAAATATAGAAGAAGAAAAAAAAAATGACGCAAAGTTCGAAAGTAGAGCGAACAAGGCGAGAGATTATAACGAAACGTGAAGTTCGACTGTAAGCAAAGACGACGCGGTAAATTTTACAACGGCCTGATTTTGTACTTACGCCCCGACACCCTTTACACAAACAGCCTATATTTATAATACATATATAGAAATAGGCTCGACCGAGCCTTAGCGTGTCTGTGTAAGAGCTGTCCAATTACGACAAGTGATTTAAGATCTTGATTATCATTGTTCTCGCGTGATTTGGTGCACGTGTACCCAACGCAAAATTACCTCCGTACTATAGCCCTAAAAACAAGACGCGTTTATTCATGCGTTCCTCGTACTATTTCTCTATACATTGATCCCATAGTATAGCCTTACCATCTGCATATCGATGCACGTGTCATAAAAGAGCATTTTACAATACTGTCTTTTATTTCGTTGAATTAAAAAAAACAACACTGATTTTTTTAATAGAATCACGCAATTGAACTAGTAAGTCGGAGTATCCAGATTAACAGCACGTACGAGGTTAATAATAACGATCATCGATAAAGCTAAAGCAACCCCAATCCCGGCAATATCGTTACCGCTCGGATTTGAATTTCAAATGCGCGCCCGAGAAAGGAAAAAAAGAAAGAAAATTGCCGGACAAAGCAGCAATCTCAGCGCACAATAAGTACCACCCCCCCCCCCCCCCGAATACATTACACTTTCGAGCAATCTCTCGTGACGGCGGGTCGAACGAACGAAAAAAAAGCCCTCGGCAGCTATCTAACGCCACTGTTAATCGTTTTCGCCCAAAAAACCCCGGCCATTCCACTCCAATTTCTTTTTTTTTCCTCCCTCTTTCCTCCGAGGCTTTGCACCCGATACCCCCCCCCTTGGCCGGCAAAAACAATCCGGCTGACGGTTCTTATGCAACCCTCGGAATGAAAAAGTGTTGGAGCTTTTTTATCGCGAATGAGCGCCCCCTTCTATGTACACACAGACACCTAAGCCGATTTGTGTATGCGAATGGGAGTGAGAGATGTTAATTGAATCGATAAAAATATCGGAATTGACACATTGTTTTTGCCCCCTCGAGAGACGCGTGCTGCCAACATTGGATTACACAATCGCTCAGCGCCGAAACACGTGTGCTGTGGGGGGTTACCGGACCTTATCGAGCATACACACATATATGTATGCGAGTATACGTAACCATGAAGGGGTGAGTAGGGGGAGGGAAGGAAACTAGAATGTGCATGCACGTGTCGTGATGTATACATGCAGAGGGGCCGTTCGTTCCTTGGGACATAGCCGCCAAACGACCATTGCCCAATCGGGCGTTTCGCCTGGTTTCCTATATATGTAATATTATACACACACAACATTGCACCGTACCCGTTCTCTCTCTTTTTTTTCCCTTTGTTTTCCCCCTTTTTTTTTACAGTATAGTCTCGTTTTTCGTCCCTGTACGCCGCGCGTCTTGGGTCAAAACGATTTTTAAAAATAACCCCAGCACCGAACGCTCGTACACACGCTCCCTTTTTTTTAGGTGACGAGGGTTGGTTTTTAGCATATATATACGTTGTGCCGATTGATTTGTTATTTGCGTGGGGGTGTCGGTAGTTTCTTTTTTTTCAGGAGGGGGCTTTTGTTTGCGTCGATCGTTACTCAACGATCCGATGAATAGGATGAGTTGGTTTTTCGTTAAGTTTAGCTAAGGAACTGTATTCTCACTTATACGTGACCTATACAACAATGAGGTGCATTTCTTCGGGTGGGGGGGGGGGTGCGAAAATATACTTAAATTGTTTGAAAAAATAAGCTGCTCGGACATTTGGATGATAAATATACCGATTTAAGGAGAAAATAATCGGTAAATAGTAAATCGGTGGGTGCTTCGATTGCAGAATCGAGCGTCATCCAGTTCTTCGGGGACGACTTCCTGCGGCTGTTGCTGCTGCGCTACGTGTTCTGCGACGTGGTGCTCCACCTGCACCGCTCGTTCCGGGGCAGACAACAGAGGCCCCGTTGCCACCCACCTCTGCCCGAAGCCGACGTCCTCGAGCACCCGAGCCTCCACCACTTGGTCCTCGATCTCGCGAGTTGCCTCGACGCGCGCGACCACTTCCCCGACAGCAACGAGCTCGCCTGACCCCGGCGTCTGCCGGCTTCGGTCGACTTTGCGGACCAGCACTGGTAAGCCAAAACGCCTTTTTCTATTCACATCCTCTTCAAATTGTCATAAATTTACACGCGCCAATTGCAGGGATCAACAGCAGCATCGCTCGACGCCCAAGCAGTCGCATCATTACGGCTCGTCATCGACGCGGGCAGATTACGACTACGACTACTCGGGCTCCGGCTACAATTACAGCAACAACAAGATGCCCGGTGTTCGGCAGCACTGAGAGCTGCACTGCGACCTCTCGACCGAGTCTGCAGCAATGGGGGGAAAAAAACAATATCAAGTATCATTATGTATTACATCATATAAGTTATACCGTTGCCGTGCGCGCACATTTATTATATTGTATACTCATATCATACGTACGGACACATTACCATAATGTTATTGTACACTTACACAATACCACAAACACGTACACCACGAAACTACTCTATCTCTATCGATCGTCCATGTGATCCCTCTCTTGCCGCACCGAGCCATGCACAGGTGAACAAGGGGTCGTTATCTATGGTTGTTCGCTATGATTCGTCCTTTTTACGTTGACGCAATGTGTATATTTCTTTTTTTTTTTTTTTTTTCCTCTGAATGACTACTGCGAATTCTTGGGTGCTGCGGTAAACAATTGTTTTTTTGTCTATGTAAGGCAGCGAGGCTCTCGAGTTTGACCGAGCTGGCTGTGATTGGGGTTTCTCAGTCACCTCATTTTTCTAGTCACTTGAAGGTATTTTAAAGATAATTATTGTAAATACGTAGTTCGAGTGGACTTGTATTAGTGATGTGTTTCACGGATAAAAATTATTGTTGTTACGCAAGAATTTGCAGTGGACGAGTTTGCCTTTCCTTTGCTAATAGGAATCAAGTATACTGCTTACACGTGTATTCGCAACAATCGTAGAGCATCACAATTGGGTATTTGCGAAAAATTTTGATTTTGGCGTTCGTAGGTTTAAGCCAGATGATATAGATTTTTATCCTTAAGAAACATGTTGCAGTTCACGTACGTTCGAAACAATAAAATATTTCAAATATATTATTACACACGATTCTTTCGTTTAATATGGTACTCTTGAACGTAGAAGTAAATCCGTTAATCGTGTTACGCATCTCTAAAACATAGTGTTAGGACATTTGTGAAATCTACATTTTTTTAAATTTTATTTTAATATCTTGAAAGAAATGTATATTTTCTGTACTGATACGTAAACGTAACGAAGATGAAGGGGGAAAAAAATATATAGATAAATTTGATAAAAAGTCAAAAGTTATAAATATAAACATAATTATGTTGCAAGATCTCGCATTGTAAAATAATTGTAAAGTTTTTAAGCTACGATAACCTCTATGATTATAGAATTTAGCTAGGAAAAAAAAAAAAATCTGTTTGCGATAAAATTTAGGATAAAATTTTGAAAAATGGAGAAATAAGATTGAGATGTGAGATACTCGGTTAAAAATAATTCACGTGAGAATTATGGCATCTCCAAATTCTATAACTTTGCTGATTTTTTGAACTAGGTAAATAAATTTAAGTTAATACATTAAATACTTCAAATCTAATGCAAACAAAAAAATCATGCAAAATCCAAAAATTTTATTTAAAAAAATTAATTAGCTACGATGAGTAAAATCTTGATTTGTAAAATTAAAATGTCGAAAAAAATTTTTTTTACCGACAAATCCCGCTAAGTATGAAAAAATTCCATTCCTATTTTGAGGCCATCCATAAACTACGTAACGCCATTTAGGGGGGGGTAGGGGTATGACAAATTGCGACATTAAGTTACGTGGGGTGGTGGGGGGTTTAATTAAAAGTAACGTAACTTCACTTTATGCCACGAAAGTTAAAAAAAATTAAATGCACTATAATATTTTTTCAAATAGAGCGCGTAATTGCAAGTTTCTCAGTCGTGCCACGCTAGGTGCTGTATTGTACGTGTAGACTAGTTACACTACTACCAACCTACTCGTATTATAACGTTGATCACGCAGCAGAGTTTTGTTTTTCTTATTTTGACAAGTCGAGACGAAAAAATCAGTCGATAGCAGAGTATTGACACATGCATAACAAAAAAAACAGTTTTTTGTTTCAATTATGACACAAGCGCATTCAAAAAAAAATTTTTTTAATAGAAAAAGTTACGTAACATTTACTGGGGGAGGGGGGGTCAGGCAAAACGTTACGGTAAGTTACGTGGGGGAGGGGGGGGGTCAAAAAAGTCCAAAAACAGCGTTACGTATAGTTAACGGATGGCCTCTTTGTTCTAATCGACATTCCTCTTGTTGACAAGCTGTACATATTTTTATGACATGTCATACGCGCATTTATTTTCATCATACCATTTAAATATCTCAGTCTCGACTAGATGGAAAAAAAAAAAAAAAAAAAAAAAAAAAAAAAAAACAAATTATGCAATTACCTCCACGAAAATTGTAGAATAAATATTATTACGTCCAATGCTTGGTCCTCTCATTTGAAAATTAATTTAAACGAAATTTCCTACAAGTATTTTTGTTAAATTAAAGCTTGCTTAAATCAACACTAGCCACGTAACAATGACCCAGGGCTCACAGCAGGGCTCACGCCATCACATTGATGCACCCGCAAGCAATGCAAAAATTAATGATAACAAAAGTATCCCAGACACACGAGAAAAAAAAATGGTATGGTGACCATTAAACAATACCACAGCTGTCTCGGACGAGAAAACGAAACACGCATGTAGTAGTTATAAACACCGTATACTACAAACCCCAATCTGATGATGATGATTGTGCTATCAACCCTTCGGCGACTATTTATGCATCGCATGTAGACAAGGTGAATCATTCTCAGACGTACACATATTAAAAACTGTGATTCCCTTTTTTACAGGTTCTATACTTAGTGTCTTGAGGTGAAAACAATTCATTACAATATCATCTTTATACTTTGATCCCTTGACGATTCTTTTTTTTTTTTTTATTTTTTTTTTTTTTTTAATTATTGATAGTGTTGCTCACTTATTCAGCAAAGACGATTGTGCTTGTATCGTTTGTTTGTTCCACACATTAGCTTCTACCGAGAGTGTAAACATAAAAAATATCAACATAATGTATCAAAGTTCTCAGGAAACGTATAACAATTTTATGAAATGAATAACAGTTGTAAGGAAATCTCTAACGATGTTAAGGAAAAAAATTATAACATGCTTTCATTATCTGTGATTGTGAAATAAAAATATTTACGAAAGAAAAATTACACACAATTATATGTAGAACAATAATTGATATCTGTAATGAACGAAAAAAAAGTGCTTGGTAATTTAACAAAATAAATCGTCTGCTTTGGAGTGATGAAAAAATCCAAGAAAAAAAACATCGTATTAATAATTTCTGAGATTCAGCACAGTCTTATACATATGGATAAATTGAAAAAAGAGAAAGATGCTCGATCGTGAAAGACTTTGTTTGATTGAGTATGTATTTGCTTGTTGCACGTGGAATATAAAAAATTAGCTTGTACCTTGTATTTTTTTTCTTTGGCTTCATTGTTTTCACTGACCTGAAGCATATATTATATTATAAACATAAGGTAAAGAGTAATTATTGTGCAAACACACAAGCTTTTACTGTTTTGGTTGAACGGTGATGTGCTCGATGTGAGTGAAGATGAATAGAGTAAAAAAAAAAAAAAATTGTTGATTAAAAAAAAATTAAGAATAAAAATAAAGCGCGATTTTCTACAGATAAGTATTTTGTGAATCGAGAATCGTTCTCGACCATAGTGGGAACGAGCAAAGAGTGAATATAACTAAAAAAAATATGAAAAAAAATATATATATATATCTGACACGAGAAAGGTTATAAGTTAAAAGTACGAGAAAAAAAAACACCTTGTGGTTTTATCCATAATGTAAATGCTATATACATAAACAATAAATGAACAGAAAAAGAAAATACATTGTTAAAAAAAAAAAAAAAAAAAAATCATTGCATTGGTTGAGAAGTCAAAGAGCGACATTTTTTCGACGACCACAATCGAATTCTCTCCGTGAAATGTAAAATAATTTTATACAAATAAATAAGAGAAAGACAAAAAATAATAGTTATAAAAAAAACCATTTAAATAGTTAAGATGTTTACGGAACAAAATGAGGAGTTTTCGTTGGAAAATTGTCGACTGTCGACTCTACCGCATCGCTCGAAACTTGCAAAACGTTGAATTATAGGCTCTGTGTTATGAATAAAACTTCATGCTCTTTTCAACAAACAAATAATGACTATTTTCCTGCATAATCCCAAAATTATCAATCCCTTTATCTTTTACTTCGAAGGCAAGTGTCATTCACGCAAAAAAAATCGATCATCGCAATCAATAAATCAATTTAATTAGACTCTTTTTTTTTTTTTTTTTTTTTGTTTTTTCAACGCGACAAAAATTTATGCCGGAAGCTTTTCGCTCTCTCAGTCTCGCCGAGGCGTTATAAAAAGCGCACTTTGACAACTCCTTGACATGAATGATGGAACAAGCTCGCTAAGAAAAATACACAAAAGCGTCCAACGATGCTCCAACCATTATTTGTTTTATTTCTCCAGTATACCGTGCGCTCTAGTTTTCTTTTCTGACAAATTTCGTTTGCTGAATCTAACAACCTTATTTCATTTCCCGCATATTCAGATATTACAAACGTACATCCCATTTCGCGTGTACTTACTCTATAAATACATCGACCGAGTCGAACCAGTGGCCAGTAGGGTTTTCCAGATTTTCATTCGACACACGGACGATCGAGTATTGCATCGGCAATCACTTTGCATTGTGCTTCATCTTCGGTTGAAATTTATTCCTCGGGCACATGCAACAGTGAAAATAATTGATTTACAAAGTCATGCACACGCAACGCTAATCCGAGACGCCTAATTGGAACGGGTGACAATAAATTTGCATGCGCACGCTAATGCCTCTCGCCAACACCAATTCGACAGTATATACAGGTAGACTCGCAGTGGAAAAAAAAAAAACGTACACAAGTACCGATGAGCTGTACGGACAAAGAATATCGTGCCGATGGTCATTATAAGTACCCATGTATACATCGGAGTCGGAGATACCGATGTGCCCTGCCGTTGCGGGGCTTTTTATTTATAAACAAAAAGTAGAGCGAGCGAGCGAGCCTGGGGCTTTTAAACTTGAAAAGCCGCGCGGCCTCGTTCCCTCGCCAGCTTTTTGGCTTTTCCTCTCTTTTTCGAGCTTGCTTTTGGCCTCTTTCTCCCCTCCCCTCCCCCCTCGCCCCTCGATCGACCGATTTTTCGGCTGGTTCCATCGCTACACGTATCCGACTACGCTTGACGAGTATTTTTTTCTGAATCGAGAGGTAACGATGGATCATGAGTTTTTGCCGGAACAAAGTTGGAAAAGCAGGCGCTCGGAAAAACGAAACGAGTTGATTGCACGAAAGTGCATTTTCTCGGAAACATCGCGTAATTGGAACAGCGGCGCTCGGTCGCTACTGCTATAAATACCCGTTAACGATCGGCCCATCCCAAATCCCACCGATGTCCCGTTCGTTGTTCCCTTCATCCTCATTTTCTCAATTTTGCAAACAACCATCATTATTTTTTCATTATCAAAAAAAAAAAGAAAAAATAAAAAAAAAAAATTGCAATTGATCCATACAAAAGTACACGATTAACGGCATGGCGATGAATAATTTTAGAAAAAGCCCTCGAGTTGCGAGCGAAAACAATCATCCACGCGGTGTTGATCGCCCAAACTCCCCCTTCCCCTGGGCTGGTTCATCCATCCCCCTTTTCGCGATAATTAATGTATTATCCGAACTTGCAAGCTCTCTCTGTCTCTCTCTCTCTCTCTCTGGCTCTTGGCTCGAGTTTTTCCTTCCACCTGTATGTACCGACAAACACGGGTACAAGCAACGTTTTACCTGATACGTGCGGCCGCTGCTGGCAGTCATCAGAAACGCCCGAGTCGCCGCCGCCACCGCGGGCGCGGATTGCGCGCGCGCGGCAAGTGTGTGTGTGTGTGTCTGTCTGTCTGTTTGTGTACATGCGTATATATGTATACATATGTATCTGTGGTCCACTGCAGCTGGCCTGACCTTGGCGGAGACGCCCAGCGGAGTCTCTTTCAAGGCCACCACGTGTCGGGTGCTCGCCTAGCCGCGCTAGCTGGACCAAACCATCGCTCGTTTACGTAACATACACCCATTACACGTATAACAAACGAGTAGGTCTTACTTGGGTGAGGTGAGCACGGGGTGTACATCGAGGTGGAGTGTGGTTTCGAGGCTTGTGAAGTTTGGAAAAATTACGTTTAAGGTAAACATGCGCGTGTTATTTACTTGGGGGTCGAGCGGTGAGTACATAGATCGTATATAGGTGTTCCGAGATGACAATGAAGTTGCGCCGATCTATTGTTGTCTCAAGGAGCCTATCTCTCTCTCTCTTCTGTTTAGTAAGGTGAAACGAATATCGAGGAAATAATTCACCCCGTCCGCGAAGAAGAGCCTGATTCGATTGATTCGTCCAACTCGTTGATACGGAGTCATCGGGACGTTCGTGCGATTCGGGATTTCGGTACATATACAATACCGTTAATCTTGTCATTGTTGTAATTAGCTTAGAGAATTTCAACACCCGATGATTTAAATTCAACATTTTTGTTTTTGTTTCCGTTTTTTTAAATCAATTCGTTGGCAAACAAAAACTTTCTCGCTTTTATCATCAATTTACACGTATTGGGATAAACTATAACGATTCGCATCGATGATCGGTATTGGTTTTCGAAAAACTATACTGTCACGTCCACGTGGACAAATAATTCGAGCGTAATGTATATACACAACGAAAACAGTCACAGGCAAGCTGCTGTATGGTTAAATAAAGGTTTACCACTCGGTAGGAAATATCGGCGTCAAAGTTCGCTGCCAAATTTCTAATACCGTATTCGTGCCAATGGCAGAGACGCGAGCTCTAAAGTTTCACTACAAGTACCGCTCGCGGCTAATTCTGCCGATCTCACGCACGATACACACGAACCGAGAACTGAATCGGGTGTATGTATAGAGTTTTGCAAAATTTCTGAAAAACGAAACCAATGTACCCCACACATCCCGGAAAATAAGTACATTGAGAGCGGCAAGAAAATTAGCGGTCATCAAACCGCACGCGACGAAGACGAAAAAACAAACAAAAATCGGCGTGCCGGGAAAAACCACCGAAAGAAGAGAGAGAAAGAGAGAGAGAGAGACAGCTTCCCGAAAATACATTATACGTATAGGCACAAGTGAGCGAAAAGCCGGTAAATCATTCGGCGGGCACGTATAAGTGTATAGACTGGAGGAGGGGAGTAACGGGCGCGCGAGAAGAGAGAAGCAAAACTAAGTAGAGAAGAAATAGGAGAGGAGGAGATGGAAAACGAGCAACGGCAACGCCGGGGGCGCAGTGATTCCCGCGCGTCCTCCACCTCGTCCAGCCTCGAGGTGCGCTGCGCCTGCCAGTACTACCTTAGCGACTCGCTGCTGCCGGAACGAAGCGCCTTGGCGGCTTGCAGACCGGCTGCCAAGCCCACGGCCAAGAGGATGGTGCAGACGCCGCCGGCCGGCAGGAGGCCGCCGGTTACGTGCGGGTGAGTTTTCGCTACACATATCTCTCACCTTCCCCACCCCCCACCCACCCCATTTATTATATACACATATGTATACGCGTGTATACAATCCTTGCTACCGCGAGGGCGCTCTGGTTCACGCCGTGCCGCAATTTTAAGGGCGCGTCTGCGTTGGCTGCGATAACCCCTCGTGAATTTTGAATTTTCCCGGTTACGTCGAAGGAGCTTTTTTTTCATTCGCCCATCGTGCGAGCTCCACCTGCACGGATGGCCTTGCCGATAATAACGGGGTATAATATATTTCTCGAGCCACAGGAGCGGGAGTGTAGACGCGGCCTGATGGATTATTGACCCCTCGAAGCGCGAGGGGGATGCTGCACGCGCACGAGCGTGGGTGGGGGGTTGGGTGATGGGAAAGGATATATAGCGCAGGTCCTCGGTAGACGGGGTGGATGGCCTGTCGATGGGATATCCTTGGGGATGTGTTGATTGATCGGTGTCTCGTTATGACGTTCAAGTGCGCGTAGGAGTCGAAGGGGTGCGGAGGAAACAGTTTTTACCCGAGAGTCATGGCGGGGAAGAGAGTTAGATTTCGGTAAGGGGATGTTCGGCTTATGACTCGAGAAGTGTGTTTACGTTGTTACGTAATCAAGGTGTTTCTATTTTTTTTTTTTTTTTTTTTTTTTTTTTATTTTTTTTTTTTTTTTTTTTTTTTTTGACGTTAACTCGGGCAGAACTTGTCGGACTTAGGTGCTTCACCGAAGGGAAATGGATTATTTGTGGGTACTTGATGGGCTCTACTTTGGTTTTTGTCGTATATAGAAGTATACGGATCGTGTAGTGCTTTTCATTCATGAAATTTGTGTGTTTGTGGTGACGCGCGTGAAAGTACACAGAAAGTAAATTCCCCATCCGGTGTCTTGTGCGTGAAAATTAGTTTTGGCACATCAATACTTGTCATGTATTATGTTTTTTTTTTTTTTTTTTTCGTCATCGGTGGTGGGGCATGTAATTCAACGCACTTTCTTGAAAGTTTAAAAGTAACGCGTTCCGGCATTATTCGTCAGCTCATAAGTGCTTTTCGAAAGCTTACGTGCTGTACAGAAAAAATTAATAAATACAATCACCCATCAACGCTCTGCCTCGCATACTTATGATTTTCCAACTTTCGGATCATAGGAATCATTATAATTTTTTTCATACTCGAGCACGTGTGCAATGATATTCACAGGGTGGATACAAAAGTCATAGGTGGTCGAGTGCGTGTGTAATAAACCGATGACTTAGTTTTTTTTTGACTTAGCACCTCTTGCTCTCTAATAATAGACAAACCAAAAAGCGTTAAATGGTGTTGTGATGTATGTATACGTTCAAGCTCCGACGCGTTCCGTTTAGCCATATTTTTTTAATTCTTCCACTGTACATTCAATTGCCACGTTCGCGAAAGGCAGTTAAATTTTCATAGTTACATGTTTATATTTGAAAAAAGGAACGATCGTCGCTGATGGTTGTAAACGCACAACAACCGAACACCGGAGCGTTAAAACAAAATCAACGCAAACGCGCGAATACCACCGCCTATAAATACAGACGCGCAGAAAAGTAACGCTACGGCGTTCTATTTCTCTGCAGTGCACTACTATAGCACCGCAAATCCTAAGCCGCAATGAAACGTGAAAAAAAAAAAAGAAAAAAAAAAAGAAAATAGAAACACCGGAGCACTGCGAGTCTAAAATTAACATCTGTTAACAAACCCATCATCTAGACAAATATACAGTAAGGTATGGGTAATGAAAGATTAATTATGCATCATTAAAACGCGCATAATGAAGGTTCACGGTCAACAATTGGGCCGCTCGCCTTGTCCCTCTTATTTCCCTGCCTTTCCATCGATTTTTCCCTCCCAAAGAGTCGTACTCGTCGCCGCGACCAAGCAGACGCGAGAGCGAAAAAGACGATCAGTGTACATTATATAAATATACAGGTGCGGGTACGGAGCGAGAGGCAAGCTTGACCAGCGACGGTGGCTATTTAAGGCCCCCGCGCCCGGCTATAGATAGAATCGGCGAGCTCGCGCGCTCTTCTCGCTGCTAGAATCATAATGTTACGCTGTAACTGTCGCCGGCGCTTCTTTGGGCTGCCCGCCTTTTCGCTTTTTGATCCCTCCGCTCTGATGCTTCGATCGTTATTGTTGATGTTTTTCCTATCCACATGCGTTTGTTTAACTCATCCCTAATAATGAACAATGCACGTGGAAGAGTCGACGGGGTAAACTTTGAGAGGTTTTACCCTATTTGTTGGTCCACGTATAGGTACGGGGTTTGTTTTTTCTAGACCCATCGGTAGTCGTCATGCTTTGCTGCCGATCATACAAATAAGCCCGAGATGTTTACTTGTGTTGGACCGAGAATATAAAAATTACGTTTGACGCGCGATGAACTTTTACACGCATTTGTAAAATATCTATTATCCATACTCTGCATGTAACCGATCACGTGAACATTGAGTCGGGGTTGAATTATAACAAAAAAAAAAAAAAAACAAAATTGCATGTTTTGGTGAAACTGTACACAAACTTTTTGTAATTATTAAATTACGACGGAATGGATATCTTACGCTACGCGGTAAAAATGATCTAGTAGCGATGTAAATGAGATAAAAAAAAAAAAACTAGATACAATGACCTGTACGAACGTTGAACGGGAAAGGAAAAATTAACGAAAATGTGGGTGATTCTTTAGCGATCACGACTACGAGCCAATAGGCCAGCCGATAATGCGCCTCGCCGTGTCCCAGCACTCGGTGGTGGTGCGCTCGATAGCACCGGTGGTCAAGATAACGGACACGGACGTGGTGCCCGTCGCCGACAGCGACGACAGCATAGACGACCGTTACCGCTTCCACGGCGCGCTCATCCTCGACGGAGACGTTATCCTGCCGCTCGACGGGAGGATCGAGGACGATGCGATGGACGGGCGCAACTTGGGCGACCAGGCCGTTGACTCATCGGCAGACGAGCTCGAGTCGCCCCAGGAGCTGCAGGAGAGGATCGAGCAGAGGTTCTTCAACAACGCGAACGAGGAGAGGAATGGCATCGACCTCATTGTCCCTCCGCCGACTGGTGCAAAGGTGAGTTTTTCTGCTGTCTAATTGTCCGCGGGATGTATGAGCTGAGGAAAAAAAATCATCGCCGGTCTCTTGCGTCTATTTTGTAAGGATGACGAAAAAAAAAAAAAAAAAAACCATGTGGGTGCTTACGGAAACCAACACCATGGGGAAAAAAATAACAACTACAAGAATCTTCTCGAATAAAAAACTATTTGATTGGCAGATTAACAATTTTGCGAAATTAACTCCTTCCCTCTTGAGATGAAAAAAATTATACACTCAGTCAAAGTAGTACTGTTTATTATTAAAAAAAAAAAAAAAAAAAAAAAAAAAAAAAAAAAACAATGTGTAGATCGAGGAAGACATTATTTTTGTGGTACACGGCTGATCATATATACTTTTTTGATTTTTGATAATTGACAAGTGTTTCGAGAACAACAAAAATATGCACAGCAGGAGATACAACTCAAAATCTAACGATGATTTCACTGGTCTTATTTCTCAACAGCTGAACTCTGTATCTCCATTGTTTTGTTTGTTTTTTTACTTTCGCCTTGAACGATTCATCGATGCAAGGCACAAGCCAAATATCTCGATGTTGTCTTATTACATTTCGTTCCAAACGCGCGGTACGGGCAACTATACTTAGACTAGGATGCCCAACTTGCGACGACGCTATCGTGCTGCGTCCAAACGGCAGTACAGACGGCTAAGCTCGAATATACAAATTCAATCTCCGATAGCAAATTTAATATGACTCGGCAAAAATTGTAACTTTTTGAGGAATAATACTCTATGCTCTTCTGAATACAAAGCACAACTAATTTTAAGTTTGTCATTAGAAAAAAAAAAAAAAAAACTGTACATCTTTTTGAAATTTTTACGCTGGAAAACAATTTGAAACGATTATCAGTCGTTTGGAGCGTCTCGGATTTTTTGCTGTTTTCACTTGATTATATACCATATGAATAAAAGAGTGATGTTCGGATTAGTTGCATTCCAATAAAAACCACGTATTATTTCGTATACTAAACACACTCGTGCACAACGTAAGTTTCCAATTTATACCGAGAAAAACCTTTATGTATTAATTTATCAATTTTTTTTTTTTTTTTTTTATATATCCAAACCAAGCGATGATATGGAAAAAAATAAATTTGTAATTGAATAAAAAAAATGAAAAGTATAAATGTCACCGTCGCCAGGTGGAAACAGCATCGACGAACGATGAGGAGCCCCGGCCGGGTATACAGCAGCGGCTGAAGAGCCAGGCGGGCAAGATACGCTCGCATTTCAAAAACATCCAGAAGCCAACCTTCAAAATCCCAAAATCTCGTGCCAAAGCAACAGCAGCGACAAAGCCAACGGCCACGGAAAAACAACGACCTACGACCCCCGTGCACCAAACAGCCCCACCCTCGCCCAGGGGAGTCCAAAAGGCCAGTCGCATGGAGCGCTTTCGCATGGCCCTGCCCGAAAGACCCCGCTTCTCCCTCCCCGACAAGTCAAAGTTCCACCTGCCCGATCGCTCGAAATTTCACCTGAAGAAGCCCAACATACAGCTACCCAAGTCGCTCACCAGGCCCCGGCGCACCCCCTCCCAGCGATCATCTTCGGCCACCCAGGTACATATGATATACGTATATTCCCACATATCAAATGCCAAAAATAGTATCCTCGCCCAACCACGCCCCGAAGAGCTCATCATTCCAATTAACAAAAGCATCCCTCCCACCCTTCTCATGCAAAACACCCTGACGCGGTGGTTTCCCGGCAGTCGGGCGAGTTGGACGAGCCGGTGGGCGCGACCGAGACAAAGCCGGGCGGCCCGCAGCGGCGCACCATCTTTGACTTTTCGACCCTACCGAGGCCCCGGAGGCTCTTCGAGCGCAACAAGGACAAACAGGTGGCGAGGAGCGAGGAGGAGGAGGAGAAGAAGCCATCGCCGAATGAGTCGCGGGCCCGGTCCATCGAGTCGTCGACCTTTCCCAGAGCTAAAAAGACGAGCAGGCTGTCCCTGAGCGCCCGCTGGGCCCAGAGGTTCGGCGAGACCGTGAGGGGCTTCCACGGGGAGGACGGCGCCAAGGAGAGCGCCATCGACAGGTCCCAGCCTTGGCGGCACCCGTCCCTCGAAGAACCGAGACTGTCGCTCCAACCCCAGGTTTCCGAGGAGGAGGAGGAGGAGGAGGAGGACGTCGAGGAGAAGCTGCCCTGGGAGAACACCGATAGGAGGAGCCACGCCGAGGGCGACAGCGCGGTAGTGCCCCATCGCGAGGAGGAGATCATCTACGCCGACGAGGAGGACATCAAGGTAAGGCTTGTCATCTATACTCGTACACGGGATACACGTCACGTGATATTTTAACGCGTGTGTATGGATTTACTCTCGTGTGGTTTAAAAAGGAGCACGTCCTGAAGGGGCACAAGGAGCCAGTAAGGGATCCGCGGCTGGAGGACGAGCAGCTGATGAGCCGCATCGGACCCGAGGAGCCCAAAAAGAAAGTCAGGCTGGTTGAAGAGGAGGACGACGAGTCCATCGTCGATCCGGAGGTGAGATTTTCAAAGTGCATGTATATACCTACTACCTTGACCCAACCCCAACGACGATTTTCGATAGGCCGAGGATGAAAACCAGACGTACCACCCGAGAGCCCTCTACGACGGCTCCTTCCAGCCGGTGGACCCGCCCGACTTTCACGACGAGCGGGCCCACTCGGCTGGACTCTCGGAGGAGGAGGAGGACGACGATCGCTCGTCCATGAGGTCGGACCGGGAGATCCAGCAGTCGAGCGGCAGCTCGTGCGATCGCCGTAGGCGCGGGGTCATCGAGGAGATAGACTCGGACGAGTTCTTCCTGCGGGAGAAGGGGATCAGCGAGGAGAACGTGCGCTTCCACCTGATGAGCGAGATCAGGAACGCCCTGAGGCGCCCCGAGGACAAGGACAAGGTCGAGTCGGCGCCACCGGAGCGCCCGGAGCGCAAGAGATCGGCGCGCAAGCGCACGGACGCCTCGTCGACCGAGTCGTTCGAGCGGGCGGGCAGCCTGTCCTCGAGGCACCGGGTCGTCTACCACACGCAGTCGTCCTCGCGCGAGAGGGACGAGCCCCTTGTACTGGACAACGGCTTGGGTCAGACCGTCAGACCGGCCAGGAGGAAATCCCGGGGTTCCTTGGGCAGTAACCACCGATTGCCCATCGACGAGCTGAACATCGTGCTGGCGCCGATACACTCCCCGGTGGAAGCACCTGTCCGGTCCTTCGAGGCTCCGGTGGCTCCTAGTCGGCGAAAGCGTCTCAGGCGGGACCAGCAGTCCTCCAGTCTCAGGTGAATACGTGACCGTGACTGTATATTACCTGCAATGTACGTGTATGGCTCAATAATGTGTGGTTTGTTTGACCGTGTCAGTATAAGGACGGTCGACAGTGCCATGTACAACGGGTTCGGGCACTCGCACGAGAGGATCCCGCCGACGCCGCCACCGACGCCCCCGGCGTACCGGCACATGAGGAACGGCCTCGACGCCGTCCGCCAGCAGCAGCTACTCCAGCTGGCCCCGGTGCCTCCGAAGCGTACGCGCTCGCGGACGGCTAGCTTGGCGCCCGAGGACGACCGCACGTCCCGCGAGGCGGAGTCGCTGCCCGGGGACTTTGGCTTCGTCGACGAGGACGTGGGGCCACCCGTGCCCCGCGACTCCTCCTCCCGAGAGCCGAGTTTGCCGGGCTACGCGGTCATCGAGAAACGAGAGAAGCCACCCAGACCGCCACCCCCGAGGAGGAAAAAGCCACTGCTGCAGGACAAGTTTGCGACAGCCCCGAGGCCGGCCAAGGGCGCCGGGCCCAGGAGGCCCCTCAGGAATTACAGCACCCTCAGGACCGCCAAGTCCGACACCATTAGGTATACACAGCTACGACCACCCGGTTCCAAATTGGATATGGTCCAACTGTGGAATTTTTCCAGATCCAGCGACTCGATGCCCTTCATCGACGGCGACTTTTCGCTCGACGACGACGAGGACGACGAGCTGTTCCACCGGGAGTTGCAGAGCGGCGAGGTCCTCAGCAAGATCCAAGGCCGGCCCCTGCCAGCGCCACCGCGACCACCTCGGCACCGACGCCCGGCATCGGCCCAGCAACGACCAAGCGACTTCAGACAGGGCAGCCTACCCCGGGAGATGACACCCGATTTTTCCGAGACCGTGGCCTCCACGCAGACCGATCCTCTGCCCGACGACCTAGTGATCGAGGAGGAGGTGACCACGGCGAAACTGGTGGTCACACCCTCGCGCTCCGGCTCGAGCCAGGTGCTCATAAGCGCCGAGAGAAATTCGAGCCCGGCGAGCGGCAGCTACCGGAGCGCTGCCACGCCGCCGATACCGCCTCTGCCCGCCTCTACCGGCGAGGCCGGGGACTCGAGGAGAGCTGCGGACACCGGTAAGTTGGCGCCCATACGTTTCACTATACATAACACGATGACTATGGTGTTGAATCATTGTTGGGCAGAGAGCACGAGACACAGAGCAGACGAGCCACCCTCGGAGGAGCCCATCCGGCGCTTCGACCCGTCCCAGCTGGAGATCCTGCGCTCGGCTCTCTTCTCGACGGACGAGCCGCTGAGGATCCCGAGCCTCGAAGTGGGAGACCTGCGGGTCGAGCGACTGACCGTCTCGCAGCTGGAGGCCTACAAGGTCGCCGCCTCCGAGATAGACGCGATCGTCGTCTCGGCCACCGAGATGTCGAGCAGGGGCGAGACCGACACCGGCATCCATCCCTCCCTGCTCCAGGAGCTCATAGCCATCAGGAGCCAACTGGGTACGATGATATAACACACACCGTGCATTCGAGTGTGTGCAGCGTTACTTAACAAACAACATTATTTTTATTGCGCATGGCTATTGAAGAGGCAGTCACGGCAGCGCAGTCGCGGCCCCAGTCGGCCATGGAGGACGCGTACACGGCGACGAGCAACGAGCGCGTCGACATACCGATCGACGAGCAGAGAAAATCGTCCGTTGGCTCGCGCAGGCCTGTCTCGAGAGAGAGCTCGCCGCTACTGGTTGTTCAGCCAATGGTCTCCGAAAGGGAAGCTGCGACCGTGACCCTGGCTCGAGCTGCCTTTCCCCCGAGCTCCTCCGCTACCGATCTCTCGACGGCGGACAGCACGACCCTCAGCGACACCACCACCATCGAGGTCACCACTGAGGTGAGTTGTTTTTTTTTTTTTTTTCATGGAGATGTTTCAGTTTGGGCGTGGAGCTCACGTTGGGGTGTAACATGTGTATACGTAAGCAGGTCATCGAGTCGGTAGTAACGGAGGTGAGGGAGGAGATCGACGAGAAGACGGAAAAATCGGTATCGTCGAGCGAGAATAAGAAGCCAGCGGAGGACGCGGTTGGATCGAGATCGTCGTCGCCGAGCCCGAGTCAGCATCGTCCGGGGGTCGTGCGGCAAACCGCGTCACCGGTAAAGTCCCTGCCACCCGTGATATCGGTAACTCCCGACGGTATCACAACGCCAGCCAGCTGTACACTGGAAAACACGCCACTCCGACACGTGACGTCCAGCGGAGCTCAGCCCCAACGTGCTGTTATATCGTACCGATCCTCGTCGAATAACAACATTACCGAGGATCACTCTGCAGTAACCGGCACCGCGGCGAGAGCCCCCTCGCTGTCCTCGTCGTCCCGCGAAACGTCCCAATCACCACCACCACCGCCACAGTCCTCCCCGACCCCCGGCCGAAACTCGTCCTCCCGATCGCCACCCCCGCCCATGAATCCCCAGTTCATAGCCTTCCCCACCTCGCACATACCCCCCGAGTTCTTCGCACTGGCCAATCCGCCCCTGACGGCGACGACAAATCAACAACCAGCACAACACCACCCCCAACACCTTCACAACAGCCATCACCATCGAGCCGAGCCGAGTGTCGCCGACTCGGCCGGTGAACTGCTGCGGGCGCTACGCCACGCGGGTAACCGATCACTCAGGCATTTTGTCGATTCTGTAGTTTCTAGATTCGGCGCCGGTGGACCCGACGACGACGACGACGACGGTACTGCCGAGTCCAGCCAAAAACTCCGAAGGGTCGAGCTAGCCCTGTGCGCCCTCCTCGTCCTCGTCGCTTGTCTCATCGCCTTGTGCGTCTGCACGCCCAGGACCGTCACGCATCACCACCACTGGGACTATTTCAATCCACCGCAGTAGTACACTGTATGAGAAAGAGCCCGCGTATGTTACCTATTGTTATTGCGTGTGGTGCAGATATGAACGAGAGTGTAAGTATATACATGCAAATTTATGTGACGTTTTGTGGATATACCTATTGCGCTGTTGATCATATACATATAAATGTACCGATGGAGCAAGATGAGGCGTGGATCGTGAGAAATTGGCGAGAATGAAGGCCCTTGTTGTGCTGTGAACAAAAACAAAAAAATAAACAAAAAAAAATCAAAGGAACGCAATATCGTCATAGCCCAACACACCTTACCGTTGTCATTATTGTACTGTTATTTTGGTGAAAATTTTTTTTTTTTTTTCCCTCTCCTTTTTTTTTATTTCGTGCGACGATTGCGTGAGGGGGTGTATTTATTTCATTTTATGTTGTTTCTTTTTTTTTTTTTTTTCCTTCANTAATATAACGCCTTTTTCTCTCCTTTTTGTCGTTAAAAAAATTTTTATTTTGTTTTTTCGTTTTTTTTTTTTTTTTTCCTGAATAAAAACCGCTTATGGATTATAGGGAATCGTTACTCGTCACCTTGAAAAATTTGTCGGGATATTGCGTTCCAACTTTGTCAATTGAAGTGAAGGAGAATATACAAAAATAATACGTGAAAATATATATTTTTGTCTAAATTGAAGGGAAATGGTAAAAATCGTCCAGGGTTGCATTACATGTAACTGAATCGCACTATTTGATATACATGTGATATGAAAAAAATGTCAATAACACGATACCTACTTTTTTTTTTTATTTGTAAACTGCAGATCGAAAAGTGAAATTTTGTCAATTGTAAGTATAAAAGTATGATGGATTATTTCGTTTGTTCATCATGAATAAAAAATGCAACAAATAATTACTACATAATTAACGACTAAATGAGCAATTCTCAATCCATCCCTGCGTAAAACTGTCATTGCGCTAATTAATTGTATGGTAATTATGATGACTCTGTTTTGTACGAAAATTCTAGATTTCTATGTACGCGTTGTTGTTATTGAAATGTGAGCATTATTGTTGAAAATTGTTGAATAAATTTTAATAAACGTCTGAAAGGTTTTCAAAAGCTATTGAAAAAAAAAAAAAAAAAAAAACATCTCTTATTCTTCATTTTGCATTTCATTACACATATACCCAAAAATTTCCTAGACATTTATTACTCAATGTTTGCAAAACTGCATCCCTGGTCTCTTCAAACATTCTCTGGTACTTATATACTTATTCTCATTTCTCAACGGTAATTTGAAATAATAAATCATTATGCTAGCTTATGATGGAATATAATAAAATAATTTAACAGCATCTTAACGAATATTCATGTAATAATGTCTAATAAATTTTACATGTATACAATAATAAATCATGAATAGAATATAAGATATATAATAATTATTTCAAATTTCTGTTGTTATTTCAACAAATGGTAAGAAAGTTTACAGAACAGATAAAATCTACGATACCGACGTGTGGTAAGGCACTCAAAACATTATCCGACATTCCACTCTAACGACAGTGTTACGTCGTCGCGCGCACATGCCACCGTAGTCCGCCGTGGACCTAACCTTTCCGTCCATTGCTGCTCTTTTCGGGTTCGGGTCTTCTTTCAGGCGTTGTGCGCGAGGTAAAGAAATTTTCGAACAAATTTGCAGCTGTAGTAATCATCTTATTGTTGATATATTTTTGTGTGATAATTGCAAGATTCGACTATTCAATCCTTCTTCCGTACTCTTCGATAAATATTTTTTTTCAAATATCTATCAAAACCCACTGATCGACTTGCACCGACAAGCCTTCTGTGTCTATTATTGTCCGTGCCACATATTGTAAACATGCTTTATTTTCAATAACAATCATCGTTTATGTACATGATTTTAACGATTTCTTGGTTTTTAGTCCCGCGCGTGCATGTTCAGTGGTTAAAACTTGATTTATAGTTCAAACTACAGTTTCCACTTGTTGGTTATTTACGTTAGGTTATGAGAATCACTTTGTGCATTTAGTTTTATTTTAAAGTGCAAACGTTTTTTCAGCAGCCACAAAATGAAGACGATCGTCACGAATCAGACTGTCAAGATCCCGGAAGGATTGACTGTTACAGTCAATTCCAGGTTAGTCAAAGTTAAAGGACCCCGAGGTTGCTTGAAACGCTCCTTCAAGCACTTGGCTCTGGATATCCGTGTGAGTAAACTTCATTTTTGTAGTGCAGTTGATGTGATAGCTATTATATTTTAAACAATTTAAATGAGAGTCTAGTTGAAGTTCTGACTTAATTTGTTGAAAGAAATTTGATGGATCAGTTCCTTCTTAACATGATTTATATTAGACTTTTCCTAAACTAGTCTGAATTTTATTTTGGTTTTTTTTTTTTATATGAAAATATATAAATGTGCAAATGATGATTTGTTGGATTCCCCTTCATTTGTTTGTAAATGATAAATCCTTAACTGATTTATAAGTAAACATCAAATATTGTTCATTGTTACTGGTCAAGAAGTAAATTAATCACTACTTTTAAGTTTAGATGGTGTCACCCAGGCTGCTAAAAGTAGAAAAATGGTTTGGTACCAAAAAAGAATTGGCTTCAGTCCGAACGGTATGCTCACACATCGAAAATATGTTGAAGGGTGTCACCAAAGGATATCAATACAAAATGAGAGCAGTATATGCTCACTTTCCCATTAACTGTGTCACCACCGAAAACAACACAGTTATTGAAATCCGTAATTTCTTGGGTGAGAAATTTATCAGGAGAGTGAAAATGGCACCAGGCGTCACAGTTGTCAACTCTCAAAAACAAAAAGATGAGCTTATCCTCGAAGGCAACTCGCTGGAAGACGTTTCACGATCAGGTAATAAAATTAATGATATTTCTGAAGATTTTTCAAAGAAATTGTTACATATTTAAAAAAATGGTTCTATAGTGTTAATATATCATTATTAATCAACTGCTACCTTACTGTATTTTACCATTGCAGCTGCCTTAATCCAACAGTCAACAACTGTCAAAAATAAGGATATCAGAAAGTTCTTAGATGGATTATACGTGTCTGAAAAGACTACTGTTGTTCAAGATGATCAATAAACGCATTTTTAAGAGTAACAAGATATACATCGTTTTTTTTTTTAATTATAGAATAAATTGTTGATTATTTAAGTGACATTCCATTTTTCTAGAAAATAACTTAGTCATCCTGTGGTTGTGAAATACTATAAAGCTTATGCTTTAGGTCATATTCATATTCACGGCCGATCTTGTTGAATAGAATTTTCTCATAAAGAAAAAAAAAAAATCAATCACTTTCAAACGAAGTGTTACTGTTAGGTTAAAAGTTCACAATAACTTAAACTAATATTGTTATAACAAACAATCTAGATGGAAATAAGGGGAAGTCGTAAATCCGGAAAGAAACAGGAAGACGAGCGAGAGAATCAAATGTTGTAATCACGTGGTATCGATCGCCAGGTAGGGGGCTGTCGCGCACGTATACAAGCGCCGCAGATGTTATAACGAGTGTCGTAAAACCCCTTTTATCACGCTTGTACCATATGTTTTGGCTGCTAAAAAATTCGCTCTCAAACCTAATTTACAAACTCTTGGCTCAATCAAGTACGAAATTTCGGCAAACTGCGAATTGTCGCATCCTTACAGTAACGCGTGAGTAACAAGACATCAATATCAATAAAAAAATATCGCATAAAATGATTTCCGAGTACTGAATTGACATATGTAACCATGATTTAAGTGCTGAATACCTTGTCAGAAGGCTTTATCACAAGAGTACCTGCACCCAACCACTAAAAAATAGTCACAAGTGAAAAAAACTGCTTAAACATTGCGCTGTAATAACATTTAAGAACGGCCGGGGGGGGGGGAGATAGCGCGAGGAAAGAGAAGAATCGAGAGAAACTCATTGCGCACACACACACACAGGTATACATATATGTATGTATAAAAGCTGCTGCTGGGAAAGCAATGGCGGTGTCGTTCTGCAGCACTGATCGCTTGAGGCCGCTGCTATAGCAGTAGACGAGTTAGACGAGAGGCTAGTGCGCGAGCGTCGACGACGACGTTCACATCATATATATACGTGCGTTTTTCCACAGAGATCAAAGAAAACTTGCGTGTGGAATTGAAAAGCACGCCTTCGTCATTGAAGCATCAAAACATTGTAAAAGTTTTCTTTTTTAAAAAACAGACTATTTAATCTAACAGAATAAATTGTACATACCTATACTTAGTTATTAAAAAAAACGCACGCGGTTTTGGTGTGTGTGTGTGTGTGTGTGTCTGTTAGTGTCTGTGCCTGTGTATACGTATACTCTGTAAAGTCGTGTTTGTATAGGGGAGAGAGAGAAAAAGAGAGATCTTAGGTTGCCGACGACGAGGTTGATGTACTTCCTGACTTCGAGGCAAATAGAAGATGCTAATAGAGAACCCAGAGCAGTTCAAGGCGTGGCTGACGTCCGTTTTGGAGCCGCTGTAAGTAGGCCAGAAGTCTACCTCGCGCATACCTACATGCATGCATGCACACACCTACGTATGTACGCTTGGCTTAGCTCTCCCTTGAGAGCCTTCGCACCCCTCTTTGATGCCTATGTAATTTTATTGTTTTCTCTGTTCTTAAATATCTCCTGGATAGCCGTCGTCTTCGGGGAGAACTTGCAGTTTATTGTAACTGAAAGTTAAGTATGTGTTTATCCAAAAGAAACATGTACGTGTGAGTTTGCATTTGCATGAAAGTGTGTGCGTGAGTCAAGCTGTAATTTTCTTTTTTTTTTTTTTTTTTTTTTTTTTTTTTTTTTTTTTTTTTTTTTTTTTTTTTTCTTCATATATTATATTTGGAGCCAAGGTAATCGTAACACATGTTTCTTTCGACGTTTCTCGGCTTCATTGAGACCCCCGCTTGGTTTACTCTAATTTCATGATTAGCTCGTGTACTTTACTTTCCAAGAAGAGGCTCTTTCAATGGTTGTACTATATAAGATAGTTGGACAAGCATGTCCTAGCTGTATGGCAATACTTAGTTCGTCCAGACTTTAACTTGTATATTCCGTTTTGGAGCAAGGATGGCTCGTTGGTGTATTTCCTTTTCAAAACGTTTAAAAATCATTGGAGCGCATTATTATTATTTGTATTGGTTATGCATCTGCTGGCTTTTGATGACATTTTCTTGGTAATAAGGATAACTGCGTGCATTAGATTTTTTATAAAACATATTGGTTTCCACAATTTTGAATAAAATGACTGAAACCTATTTAGTTAATAAAATTTTTGTAACAAATGATCCTGATTCGTTTCACTTTTTTTGTACTGTAAATTAAATTATTATTAATACTGACTCCTCAGATTCATAATTCCTGATTTTTATTTTATGAAGATAAAAAAACTTGTAAAAATTAGCGACAATACCTAAATGCGCCGTATTATCCATACAGTGAATTCAGTGAAATCAGTAAACGACTTTAATATGTAATATATTGAGAGGGTAAAACCACATGACTCGTGAAAAGATATACAAAATCGTCTACTGGATTTGTTAGACTCACTATATGGAATGCAGCACCAATGCAAATTATTGATAAACCATAAAGTAGTGCCATAACCTAGGTTTTATTTTATTGTCATTTCCAGATGTGACGCCGATCCAGCTGCATTAGCAAAATATGTATATGCTTTAGTGAAGAAAGATAAAACACTAGAAGAACTTAGAGGTGGCATGGTAGAGCAGCTGGATGTATTTTTGCAGCAAGGTACAAGATTTTCCTTATCTCTTTTTTCCAATATTTATTTTACTTCCTTATTAACATTTAATTGACATATAAAACAATTGAGGAAACAACATTAATGATTTACCATTCAATTGGTATGATTTTTTTTCAGAAACTCCAAACTTTGTAGAACTATTATTTAAGACTCTGGAAACACAGGATTACCTGGTACCAGATATTAAAGAGGAAGAAGAGGATGGCAGTAAGACACCACCGACTACCACAACGCCTCAGGTGCCACAACAGCCACTACAGCCACAGTCCACTGAATCTAGTAATAACGCTCCAATGAATACGATAATCGAGGCAGCTGCTGCTGTTCACATTAATGGCTCAGCTCCACAAAACGTCATTGTGAAACGCGAGGCGAGGAAATCAGATTCAGAAAAGGAAGAAAAAGAAAGAGATAAGCGACCGCGAAGTCGGTAAGCGTCATTTTTTTAAATATGTACAGATATGTATAAATCTTTTTATTAGCTATAATTTATTATTAACCCAACATTTTTTTTTTGTTTTTTGTTCACAGTGGCAGAGTCAGGTCACGGACGCGATCCCGTTCCCGGTCATGGGAAAGAGATCGACGACGGTCCAGGAGTCGTGATCACAGTAGACGCGACAGAGAAAGAGATAGAAGTCGTCAGTGGAGAAACAAATCTCCACCAATGAGCATGCGTCGGCACGACAGAAGGTCACTTATCGTCCTAACCTCTATTTTATTTGGCATTTATATACAGAAGATAAAAAGTATTTGTTTTGTTTTTTCAGGCGAACCAGGAGCCGGAGCAACTCTCCACTGCGATCACGGCTTCGCGACGGTCCAGATATACGTAATGATGGACACAGGGGACGATTCCGCAACCGCTCACCGACGCCTATCAGGTCACGTTCACGGTCCCGTTCCCTTGAGCGCATCAAAAAGATGGACAGGCACGAGCTCAGCAGACACGACCGCTTACAGGATGGTTGCACGAGTCCTGGTGGCGGCACCCCAACTCAAGACAGTAACCACGGTGACGTGGACATGAGGTTGTCCACGACTAGTCAATCCATACAGAGCGTCGTTGTGGCAGGACAAGGCGGCAACTTCCAGCCAAAACGACGTTGCAGAGACTTCGATGGTAATTGCACTTTTTTATTTTAACTTTTAAACTTGTGAGGATGTTTTATCACGAGTTTGGCTTTTTCACCTTAGAAAAAGGGTATTGTATGCGAGGAGATCTGTGTCCCTATGATCACGGCACAGATCCAGTAGTACTGGAAGACGTGGCACTGAGCAGGGTTTTAACATTCGGACCGCATGGTGGCCAGGCCCCAGGCTCTGTACCCGTTGCTGCAGTGCCCGAGGCCCCGCCAGGCAGTGCTGGACCCAATGGTAACGCACCACCACCGCATCTACCACTTGCTAGCTTGCCGCCGCCCCATCTTCGTAATCAGCACCATGCTAATATGGGTTTGTGCCTCATCCATTCATTGTCATTCTAACTGGCCGCTTTCGTTATCACTTGATTTTCTTGTATCAGTAGAATAAAATGATTTCACATTTTTTATTTTAATTGATACATTTTCATTATAACTGGTTTTTTTTTTAAATTGCTTCGGTTACAGAAGGTAAGACCAATGCTCATTGTCACTCAACTTATGCTTTGTATTTTTTATTTTTATTTATATTTATCTCTTATACAATGTATACAACTTTGATTCCATGTAAGACAAATTTTTAATACATGTTTTCAGACGTTATGACGGAATATAACCCCGACGCACCGAGTTTAGAGCCACAAATGCCATGGTCGAGGCATCCGATGCCACCAGGTCCAGTAATGTACGGACGGGGACAACGTGAACTGATTAGCGTACCAGTGGCTCCGCACGCAAATGTCGCCGAGCTGCCACCCGTGCAGTCTCAGCAACAGCAGCCCCCAGCTCAGCAGCCACCCAGCCAGCAAAAAATACCTCACCATCAACACCACTCTCAACAGCAGCACGCGCCAAGTAACCCTCTTAAGCGCAAACAAGCATTTGACTTCAATAGGCTCGGTCCCAAGCAGCGAGCTGGCCACAACGCGGCCAACTGCTCGCTCGAGCTGAAAAAAGTGCCGCGGAGCCTCAACAACATAACTCAGCTGAACAATCACTTCAGCAAATTCGGAAAAATTGTAAATATCCAGGTGAACTTTGGGGGAGATCCCGAGGCCGCACTTGTTACTTTCCAGATGCCCAGTGAGGCCAAAAGCGCATACCGAAGTACCGAGGCCGTCCTCAATAATCGCTTCATCAAAGTGTTCTGGCATAATAACAATGTCAATAACAATTCGGCTGCTGGCGCTATTGAGAATGTGCCACCTAAACAAGGTGAGTGTAAAAGATATTTTAGTCTTGTTATAGCACTTGCACTGAATTGTTGGCTGCATCGAGATCTTTTTTTGTTTAATCTAATGCGAACTATAATTTTTCCAATAGTCGGGCAACGACCATCTGTCAAAGATAGACTAGGCGCCACTATGCAGAATAAAGTTGACGATAACGAGTACGTACCAGCGCGACGCGCAACGGAAGATAACTCGCAACAGCAACAGCAGCAGAAACCACCTCAACAGCAGCCACAAACTCAACAGCAGCAGCAGCAACAACAGCACCAGCAGCAACAAGTAAGCCAACCATTGGCTCCAAAAACAACTATTGTACCTGCACCGGCAACTCGAGAGGACAAGGTCTTGGCTATCAAAAAGACACAAGAGATGCTGGCAGCCAAAGAAACTCTAAAGAAGAAGCAGGAAGAGAAACGCAAGGAGGCAATAAAGCTGACCGCTGATCTGCGCAAGCGTAAGCAAGAGCTGCTTGACAAACAACTATCCGAGATGAAGATGTTGATCGATCGCGCTGAAAAAAATCCAGATCAAAAAGAAACGATTATGACTACCATTAAAACGATGCAGCAATCGATCGACAACCTTCGGAAAGATCTGGCTGTAGGGAATAATGGACAAAACACAAGTGTCGCGACAAAATCTCTACCGAAGACTCGTGAACAGGCTCAAAAGGAGATACTAGATGCAGAACTCGATCTTATCACTGCGCAGCAGGAAGGTCAAGATTCAGCAGAATTGCAAAAAAGGTATTATTTTCATGTGCTATGTTAAAGATGATCAATCTATTCAGTTTATTTATTATTATTTCAACGATCATTTCTTTTTTTTAGATTACTCGAGCTAAGAACCCTAGCTGCTACAATAAGTCTAAATAGTGCGAGCGCGGGTAGAGGAGCGAGAGCTTTGAGGGTTTCACGAGCAGCTGCTCATGCTTTCCGAGGTAGAGGTCGAGGGGCAAGTTTCACCCATGTCTCCGTCGACCATAGACCAACTAATCTTCTAGTCTCTGGTTACGAAACCGAGGAGAAAGCAGACGTGTTAGCTCACTTTAAGGTACAGTGTTTTTATCTCGTAGGATTCATAAAAGTTATGATAACTGTATACCTATTGCCCAACTTTAAACCTTGAGATTTTTTTTCATTATAAGTAATATAAATCAAGAATCTCATTGGGTCACTGATTTTCGTTATGTCAATGTGTCACTTTATTATCCTTCATGAGATACATACCACCAAAAATGTTTTAATCAATTTCATATTTTATTTTGTTTTTTATTTTATCATGTATTTTGAGCTTAACTTAAAAGTATTGATCCGTGAGTAAAATAATATATTGATTAATAAAACATAAGGTTTGTATTTTATACCAGAACATTTTGTAGAACATATTAAGCTTGTGGACCACTAATAACTGATTTTGTCGGTAGACTTGTGAATGCAGCAGTCCCGCATCGGAGTTCCAGTCTTTGCCGACAAATCTGAATATCATTCATCTTTTTAATAACTTTTTTTTACCATACAGCGTATTCGTTGACGTTTTTGATAACGCTTACGTTTGAATACATTTATAAAAAATAAAATAAACACGTTTCAAAAAAGTAATTCAAAATCTTCAAAAGCAATAGATTAATTATTTTAAAAGTTTTACTCAGTGGCCCGGTACGACTTATTTGTTGATATGACTAATTATATTTGTACAATATTTAAAGCAATTTGGTGAGATTGTCAATCAAATTGTGGACGACGCCACACCTTCTATCGTAATCAATTACAAATCAAGAAAAGAGGCCGAACTCGCGATGTCTAAGGGACGTAATTTCCAAGACCGCGTGCTCTCCATCACGTGGGTGTCTGGACATCATCTTCATCGCGGTACTGTCAGCACTTCAAGCACCGTTGGTACAAACTTAACCAGCTCATCAACCAATCAGCGTACAGAGCAACTACAGCCTATTATGACTGACGAAGAAATAGATTTAGAGGTATGTGTTGTCCTTTTAGATAGTAATAAACTTGTTATTTTTGTTGTATTAAATAAATCAATCAATGACACGGTGCTAATAATGTATGGTGTTTTTCTGTTACAGAATATAGGAGACGAGGAAGCTTTACTTTTAGATGAAGGCGAAGAAGAGGAGGACGAGGACGGCGAGTCGCGCAGCTGGCGACGATAGCAAACTGTGAATTTTTTTCACTAATGTTTTTTTATTGCATATAAATATTATAAATTGTATAAGAGATCAATTTTGCGTGCATACGGCACTAAAAAAATTTACTACCGCACTGCTAATCGATGTTTTTTTAAATAAGCTCGATTCGCATGTATATGATGAATTATGATTATAACAGTAGTGTGGGAGGATATATTATTAAGCGATTATAGTGAGAACGAGCACAAGAGCGAGAGAAGAATGGTATGAGTATAACATAATTTTTGCACTTACGTGCAACATTGAATGTTGATGAGAGTAAATTTGTTATGATTATGTATGTCATTGCTCATTATATGGTTATCGATGATAAACTTACCTATATAATGCGCGCATCTAGAAATGATGCGTTCAGATCAATTATGAGTTTTCAAAAAAAAAATAATAATAAGAAAGGAAAAAAAGATCAAGTTGAACAAAAAAAAATGAATAATTGATGAAAGAAAAAAAAGAGGCGAAGAAATGAATAATTTAAAAAGAAATAATAACTACGACGATTCATCCCATTGATTTGTAGAATAAAATCGCTATGTTTTGTATGGGAAACACAGTCTTATTATTTACATTCACATAACTACCTTTTATTATACGGTTCATTAAAATTGCGGTTCTTAGTCAACCCGTTGGGGACGTTGCCAGTCTCCCCGCTGGTCCAGCTGAAGCCTCGAGCGAGAATGCGACAATACTTTCTTCCGTGGAAAGCGAGGCGTGCATTATGGACTCGGGATCTCTGGAAATACAGACATGATTAAAAATATTATTTACTAGAATAATGAGTAAGTGATAAACAAATCTTGTCTTCCTAAAACTTTGTATCGGTGCAGTTCTACACCGGTGTAAACCATTAGTTCATAACTAATTGAAACCACCAGTATTTATTACTCTGACCTTTTTTCTCGTAATCTTGAGTTACCTACGACTACAACAGCAGCTTTGATATTATCCTCTCCAATACTCGAGTCAAAAGTTGCTGCTAACAATTCACCCTCTTCGTCATCCCTGTCTATCTTTTTCTGAATCTGATTCCGTACTTCGTATTGATATTACTTAATACAATTGTTACGGCAATGTCTATAGTAGCACTGAGTTGTTTTAACTTTTTGAGTCCTCTATTTCTGCCCTCCTTAAAGGGATAACTCAATAATAATTGTACTTAATACGTATCATAATGCAGTGGCTCTGTAAATAGAAAAAAAAATCTCATTATTTCAGAGGTATATTTGTTTCAGTGTATGCACACTCAATTTTTCAGTATTTATATTTATTTATTTATTGATTTAGTCAACGGGACAAAGGCCCTAGAATTCTCATGCATTGCAAATAGTGGAGAGTATGCATTTCGCGCGGGGTTAAGCATATTCTCAAAAAATTAACTACTCAACTTTTAATTTCTTGATCTTCATTTCTCTCTGATATATGAAGCTCTCTGATAGAAAGCTTATCCATCCAGAGCGAGAGACACGGGAAGGAAAAAAACGAGCGCAGAGTACCACGAGAAGCAAGTACGCAAATATATCCTACAGTGATGCTCATTCACAGAAGTTTTCTTAGAAAAAAATTGATTCATTAAAAAGCTAAGCATTGCTTATCTAAGATCTCGATCGATCGATTGATATACATGAAAAAGTATGACTCGTGATTGAATTGAATTGTTAGTGCTTGCAATCTGAACTAAATAATCTGGCAGACCCATATATTGCGTATGTTGCAAATATAGTAATTAACAAGACGCCGGCATTCGCGTGCACGTGCTCATTCTCTCTCCACATAATATTATACATACGTTTGAATGTAAAAAAAAATATATACCTAGTATACATTATGTACTCATCTTTACTGCCTAAAGATATTAAATCGTTAAAGGTCGCATTTTTTTCTTTAATTAATTGTACAGTTATACTACGTATGTATAAATAATAATACATATTTACATTTTTTTTAGATGATTATGTAAGATTAGGGATAAATAATGGGCAAAAATTGTAATATTCTTAAAAAAAGATTGTTTTATTATTACACAATTTTTATATACAGCTTATACAAGTAGACTTAGAATAGAGTGCAGTTTTTTTGAGTGAGCCTCAAAATCCTAAAGTAACGTACGAAATATCAATGGTTCCACTGAAAAATTTTTACACAGAAATCTTCTTTAGTTAAAAAAAAAAATTTTCAACACTAGTCCAACAATTGATACTTATTAAATTTCTCAACCGAATAAAATCCAGCCTTCACTTGTCTTCCACCAAAAAACCGTCCATTTAGATCAACAACAGCTTTGATGGCACTCTCAATTCTTTTGAATTCTACAAAAATCCTCACAGCATCCTCTGGCTGTACATTGAGAACTTCTTGAATCATAACGCGTCCAACATCCCCATACTTGGTGTTGCACTCATCTTTAACCTCAGGCTCTAGATCATCGTCTACCTCGCCAGGTCCAACCATATTCCTCAGTAAGACAACTTTGCTCGGTGACTTCATGATTTCAGTGATGCTAGGCTCATCTAGAGTCAGTGCAGATGACTGCGAATTAGAAGGTGGTGACTGATTGAAGGATGGTGGAGGCATCAGTTGTTCCTTTTCGCTAACGATCCTGCCTCCCCTCTTACTTGTCTTCTCGACCTGCAGTGCCACTGACATTCCCTGCTCCTTCTTTCCAAGCCCCTGACCTTCTTTGAAGCCATACTTGGCCATGATCTTGGCAGCAACCGACGATGTTGCATAGCCCTGACTGAGTGTTTGCCTTGGAGCTGGTACTGGAAGAGCAGTGGACGGTGGTGGTGGTGGTGGAGTTGGTGGCTCAGGTGATGAAGACTCCTGCAGCGAAGGAGGTGGAGCAATGGTAGCTCCTCCAGCAGTGTTTCTGTTGAATGCCGGACGCTCCTCGTCCCTCTCCGAGTTCATTGTGGCAGCCACACTGGCCATTTGGCTCTCCTCGTAGTCCCTCTGATTTTCCCTTCTCAACCTCTTCCTCTCGCTCTCCTGATCGTGTTCCCGGTCGCGGATCTCACGCAGCTCCTTCACCACTTTCTCGTAATCGTTTGGCCGCATCGGATCGTACTCATTTGTTACGTTCCAGTCGAATTCCATGCTAATACCACTACCTGCTCCAAAATACTTGCCCACGCCATCGTCGACTTTTTCGACCTCTCTGGTCTTGGACTTGAGATCGATCACGGGTGCAAGGATGGCCACGGCTTTTTTATTCTGTTCACGCTTAGCATGAGGAGTCGCAGCTTTTTTCAGCTGAAGCTGAGATTGGAGGAGCTTGATGCCGGAGGACCATCCGGCCACCTTCTCCGTCGCCCGGTGCTTGTCAAAATCGTCGTACAAAGACATTACTATGGAAGACTAGCAATTAACTCTTGTAACTAACATCTCCTACTGTACTTTTTATCGCAAATGATAGATTATTTGCAAGAAAATCACTTTTCCGACGAGACGATGACGTTACGAGCGACATAAGCACGCCGTTGGTTTGTACTTTTGTACACAAACTGTAGAGGTTATGGTTCGTCAGCCTTAACGCAGCATATATATTAAACTCCATTGCATGTGTAGAAGTCTAGAACTCACTCTACACCATGGACATTTAAGAAAAATAGACTGCTCGTTCTTATGTACGGCGCTGAAGCACAAGTAGAAGAAGACACAACATCGAACGGGGGTATCTATCTTCCGGGGGTATCTATATATAACGGGGGTATCGACGGATATCCACGTTCGATGTTGTGTCTCCTTCTACTTATGCTTCAGCGCCGTACATAAGAACGAGCAGTCTATTTTTCTTATATGTCTATGCTCTACACTGTGCAGAGTGTGTGTCCCGTCCGCCCGTTATAAAAAAGGGGTCAATAAAAAAAAAAATTAGAGTAAAACTTAAAATTATAAATTGAACAAAATCATGATATTGTAGATTGAGTTTTCAGCCTCACATTTTTATTAAACTAATTTTTTTAAACGTGCTTTAGGTATTTTCGCGTATGAATACATTAAAAATTCCAAGGGCACTTAATTTATCTGGTAGAAAAATGTTCATGTTAAAATCTTATTAAAAACAGCAAAAGTATGTTTAGTAAATTATTTTATTAAAATAATTTTTACATGGATTTTAACTTTAAAAAATGCTTCCCTTATTAAACAGGGGAAAAAATTACATCCAGACATAGTTAAAAAGTATGAAAAATTTAATGTTGTATAATGATTTATTTACTTATCTTCACAAACAATTTTTTCCGACTTAAAATAGGTCCGTGCAAGTAAATGGATATTTTTATAAAAAATGGATAAGTAGCATGTAATAACAAGATGTAAATCTAAAAGTTTTATATTCACATTATAGGTACACGTTGTTGCCTGCTGATTTAAGACAGACAAAGAAAAAAAATGACTTCTTTTTAGATGGTTCTACAGGTACTCTCTTGTCAACTGAGAGATAAAAGTATTTTATTAAAAATACGTTTTAATCAATAATTAACAGAAAAAAAAATTATTTAGTTAATTTAACTTAGATGATTTATCAAACTTAAAACAGTTAGAAAACAAATACATATATACAACTTATGGTTATATATATTTCACATGAAAATTGCAAAAACCTTCTTACATTCGTGAGATTAACGCGTATGCATGGTCCAATACTCGTAGCGAGTGCCAATTAATTGTTATATAGCGTAGCACGAGTAGTGATTATCGAGTAGCACTCATTGCTGATAATATTGTCCAAACGAGCCCGTCAAATACTACTCGCAGTCTCGCACGTGAAATAACTGTTTCTGCATTTTTTGCAAAATTAAATTTTTAGTACTATTACTGATTGAAAAATCGAATGTGTTCAACTTAACTTAAGCTTTTATTTTTATAAATTTTCCTAATTTCCTGCAGAACCATCTCATGCGCACAAGTACACTCCAAGGTATACTTTCTTTACATGTATGCTAATAAATTATTTCTTTGTACACGATAAAAAAATATATAAGAACTTGTGGATACTTGTATTTGTTAAACAAAGATGTATAATTTTCTTTAAAATTCACCAAGTCCAAAAATTACACTTTTAAAAAATGGATAAAAATCTTAAACATTACAAATTAACAAAAACAAGTTTTAGGCACGATTGTGAATTTACAAAAGGATATCTGAATCATCGAAGATATTGCTCTTTAATCATTATTTGACAAAATATATTGTGTCTATACTTAAATTTTAGTAAGTATTCAAAATAGAAGAAAATCTATCCCTGATAGTTTTTAAAAAACTGTGATTGTGTAGTATGGACTTTTGGCACAATGCTTTCTCTTCACTGTTGCAGCAGAACCAGCCATGGCAGTGACTTTACTCTTTATTATACAAAATATATATTGACGTGAGCAGCTGTAGCCCTATATATACTTATTTAATTGTACGTCAGTTTATCTAGCGCTCAAAGTTTTTCTAGTAGATACATCGTTCATAGACTTAAACAAAAATGAACTTTTTACAACTATTCTGGAGTTGTAGAAAAAAATACTCTTTCTGTTTCCCATAGCAGTAGAGGATTACTGCTACCTCGCTGGACGGCGTCGTTCCTTTCTATTTCGCAAGGCATATGGTTTTCATGTATCAACAGATTTACTGATTTTAAAAACTGAAAATCAGTTTTTTGCGTTAAAAAAAGTTCATCACAGCCTCACTATCGTCTGTGAACTCCTGCTACGCAGAACTAAGAAGTTCTCTGAAAGTATGAAAAATTTTTATGCATAAGTATCACATTACTTATTAATACAACTTATCCATCTAAGGAGTTTAACTTACGTGGACAATTCTCTTCCTAACAGTCCTGTTCCAACCAGGCCTGTACGTGAACGACTCCTGTTTAACTGCGCTCTTCTTTCAGCTGTTGTACAGATTGAAAAAATTAAATATTCCTTATTAATATAGAAATGTACCTTTTCATTTCACCTATGCAGTAATTATCATACTACAAAAGCTTAGTACAGAATTGCAAATTCCAATTAAATACAAACAAGCAAGCAAACATAGGCGGTTGTTTTCCAAATATATAACCAGTAATTCATGATGGACGTTGAAATGGGTAATTTTTAAATACTAAATCACCTTATTAGTTAATAAGTGGATCTAATTCACAATACATGCAAATATTAATTTCCTCTTGGATTTTTTGTTATTTTTATAGCACAATTATCACAATTTTTGTATTAAAGACAATTATTAAGTAAAATAAAGAAAACATCCTTGTTACAAATAATATAAATTTAATTTTTAAAACAACACATTCACGTATGTACACATAAAAATTCTAATTTGACGGTATTAATTACAAATTGTTAAAAAAACACATCATATAACAAGTTTTAGAAGGTGATGCTTAGTTGATCATCTTTGAATATTTTAATTTTACCATGGTCACTTTTGCCTTACCAGACCTTCCAATCATATGATTATGTACAAGTGTTCCATATTAGTTTCGTGTAAATTTACAATGTGCACGGACGAGCTTCTTTTACCGTTGCTCATCAAACTTGATTGGAACAATTTTTTCAACAACTTCTGATTCCTAAAAGTTAAAGTTTTCCTGAGTTAAAATTCTTGATTTTTTAGATACTTTCCGAGCCTGATTGAATGTTACTACTGTTATACTTAAAACAATATCCAGTAGTCTTACGGCCCTCTTCTTTACTATATGATTAATATTAAGATAGTTCTAGTATTGACAATCATCCATAAATAGATTTAACTCCAATACAACTCTCTTATTTTAATAGAAAAAAAAGTCCACCGTTTGCTTGCTTGATAATGCATCTGAATCTCGAAAGCTCGACAGCGAAATCGAATTCTGCCCAACCTGACTGCAGTATTGCTCTAGAACTTACCACCAGCCGCGCGTGTTTGCCGCTTTCGACGTTGGTCTGGCCGACTGAAGGCCGAACCTGTCTGTAGTGCTTCCATTAGGCTGTCCATAACACCTTCCTGGGTTTCTTGGGCGTTCATATCGACGAGGGCACGTTTGCGTTCGGCTCTAGCCGCCCGCTCCCTCTCAGCTTTTTCCCGAGCCTGCCGCGCTCGACACTGCTTCTCTTCCATCTCTCGTATTTTGAGAATCTCCTTATGTGCTTGCTAAATAAATTTAAGGGAATGTTAGACTCATATTTATGATATTCATTGGATAATATTCACAAGATAACAAGGTATATTACAATAAAGTCGTCTTTGAACTTTTTGATGTCGCCAAAGAACTCCTCAATGGTATACTTCTGCTTATCAAAAACGAAAAATTCCGATATGTCGGTGTACAAGCTATCCATTTTCTTGAACATGTTTTGCATTACTTCACAAGACTCTCGAGCTTTCATTGCAAACGGCTATACAAATTAATTAACGTGTTATTGATATTAGCAACAATTATTAGAATTGTACTAAAAGACGATTGAATTAAAATTTAATTTAAAAAAATTACCGCCATAACGTTGCTAAACCTGTCTTGATCGTTCTGTGGGACTTTGGCGTTCTTGAGGTCTTGTTCCAAACTACGGATATTCGATTCCATTTGCCGTAAAATTCGCTCAATATTTTCCAACGATACTCTGCTGGCTTTGTCGATGTGTGCTAGTTCTTCTGAGAAATTCAAACAATCCGGGAACTTCCTCTCTATCGTATCTACCAAGTAATGCAGTAGGGTCTGTTTGTTCTCGATATCTTTCGTACTCGTGAGTTTAGTTAAATAACTGATTTCGAAGCCAAACGCTTGACCGTTCTTTGATCCCGAATTCATGTAATTTCCAAGCAATAATATTACTTCCAATATCCTTGTGAACTTTTTGCTGGTCTTTACTTCTTCGCATGCCGCTGTACCAGCAACTATGTCGGGCTTGACGTCCTGAACGAGTTCTTCGTACTTCAGCATAAAACTTAGGGATCTTAATCGAGGCAGCAACCTCTTGATTTGTGATACCTACATGGATAGTGTGCAAAAAACATTAATTATAATATTGCATAAAATATGAAGAGAAAAACGCGGTGCGCATCAACTTACCGTCACACAAAATTGTTCAGCTTCCGTCAATTCATCGTATTGGTCCTTGTAGTTTTGTAGCTTGGTCAGTTGGTCCGGTGGTGGCAGATACTGTATCAAGCCTTGCAATATGTTGTCATTGATGACAGGTCCCTCGCACCTCAACAGACAATTTTTCACTTCTTCGTACGGCACGTGTTTGAGTGTACCGTTGAGAAGAATCAAGATATTTTGTGCTGTTTTGCCGTCAAGAACTTTGAGATCCTTTACTTTTTTCGCCGGAGCAGATCTGTTGGAAAAATTATTTCTAGGTTTTAATATACAGCTAATGGCTTTCCTAAACGAATCGAGTGAAAAAAAAAAAAAAAAAATGTTCATCACAACGTACTTATCGACAACATCGTCCATCTTCTTGCTAGCTGGCTTCGATGAGAACTTTTGTGCCAAACCGTTGAGTATTTCGGGACTGGCCAACTTGTCTTCTTGCACTTTGACCCAAAACGATTTTTCCGTCATTTTGTGAGGTAGGATCTACAACGAATGGCAAACGAATGAAATTCTCAAATACAATTAATTCTCTTTTGTGGGTATCGAAATACTAACCGCTTTCCAGTTGGCCCGTTTTAGCGGGCCTTCGACCTCCCACTTCTTCTTCGGCTTCATACCATGAGGAAGCACCGGTACCGCGTTCGCAGACATCATAGGTGGCCTTGGCCCCATACCCGGCATCATGGGTGGCGGTGGTGGACCCATGATTCCTGGCATCGGTGGTGGCAGTGGGCACATGCTACCCGGCATCGGTGGAGGTGGTGGTCCACCAGGCATGGGCGGTGGTGGTGGCGCTCCACTGAAGCCACCTGGCATCGGAGGTGGAGGTGGTGCACCGCCGAAGCATCCTCCTGGAGGTGGAGGTGGGGGTGGAGGCGGAGGGCCTCCTCCGGGCATTGGCGGCGGTGGTGGTCCCTTGCCGATCATTTTCTGCGGAGAACAAATAAATACATGAGTCAATTCTTGAGACTTTTATCGAAAAAACAAAGTAAGAATTATAGTTAATACACGACCGCATTTCATCGGTAGAAAAATGTTTTTTTTTTTTTTCCTTGAGAAAATATTGTTTTGTCGTTTGCTTGAGCGATAAACTATACAGCGCCAAGTCTCTGTCGACAGAGCTAATAATAGGAGATGACGTTTTTAATGAATATTGTGTTTGATATTCATACATCAAACGTCTTATCAGTTCCCAAGAACTTTCAAAGCGCTACAAGATCATGTCGAGCGCGCGCGTGCACTTTCGCATGATGTATACTTATTTTTAAGTCAAAAGAGAAAATTCGACTTCCTATACGCTCGCCTGACGGCAAAAAATAAACACAGCATGATATCTAAAAATAATCGAACGAATGATTTGTCTAATGACGAGGTTATAAAAGTACTTATCCAATATTACAACGAAAAAATGAACGAAGATTTGTTTCATCGCAAAAACTTACGTCAATCAGATAATTGGTCAAAGCGCGACGATTTACCATAACGATAGTAAAGATGTTGAAAAACCAGATGTGAAAAAAATAAAGCATATCAAATTACCACAAAAAATTTATCATTCAACTATTTTTTAAAGAAAAAAAAAAAACAATGAAATTTTACCTTTTGGGAATGTACATTCATTAAACATATCAGAGTCTAGCATTTCCGAAAAAAGGTAAATTTACCAATCGGAAGGAATTTTTAGTAAAATTGTGGATTTGTACACATCAATTTAGACCTTTCAGGGTTGTCGCAATGCATATTACGAAAGTGGCATGTAATTGAAGAAAAAACAATCAACCAAAGCCATTACATGTACCCTATCGCACGCATTGAGAAACAACAGTTTCATCAGTCAAGTATCTACATTTTGTAGACGATTAAGCTCCACCAACTCAGCAATACAAAGATATGGCTCGAATTTTTCGTATCCGTACAATTTTTTGTCTTGATTATTGTACATCGCAATTGCACCGCCACATAGTACAGAGAGCGAGCTTTTAATTCGATAAGTTGGGAAGCACCGATTTCCCCCGACTGCGTTTGCGCCAGTTTATTGCAGCTCTGGATTTTTCGTTTTTATCGCGGCTCCAGTCGGGGTATACTTAATGTGTTTCACGCGCTGATAATTGAAAGATTTCGAAAACAACCGAAGGAAAACAATTTTCAATCGTCTCCTTGAAAAAGCGGCTAATCCCCCCCTCCCACTCCCCAAAAAAACGAGATCACTTTACCACGATTTCCCGTAAATCAATGCTTGTTTACACGACACCACGATAAGTTAAAAACCATCGAATCATTGTTTTTGAAAACGTGCCGTCCGATTGTAAATAAAGGACGAACGTGCGATACAAACAAAGAACAAACCAAACGAACGAGCGCAAACAAACAGCGAAAAAAAAAGACAAGTCAAGTCTCCTCGCACCTCCGTTACATCCAATGCTTGGACAAAAGACGGTAAAACGCTTACCGAGACCGCCTTAGCGCCGCCCTGCTCGAACTCCTTGATGATGTTCTCCGCGTGCTGGAGCTTGGCCTCGAGTTCCTGCCTCCGGGCTATCGACTCCTCGAGTTTCTGCGTCATCTCGGCCAACCGGCGATCCTCCTCGGCCCGCGACTTTTCGACCAGCGTCTCGATGAGCGGCTGCACGTCGATCTGGAAGCGTTTGGTAGCGCTGAAATCGGGATCACAGCCCGATCGGTGCAACACGATTTGCGAGACGCACTCCTCGATCAGCTTGTAGTAGGCGGGCCTGAAAATCGGCACATCGACAAATAGTTTTTTTTTTTTTTTATTAACTGTATTGGAAAGTAAATGTTTTTTTTTTTTTTTTTTTTTTTTTTCGAGGGTTTAGCTATTTTTGTGTATTATCGGCCGATTCGACGATAAGAACGCAGCATTTGGATATTGCGGGGTAATGCCTCGAGCGCAGGTAAATGAGACTAAACAGTGAATGTATACCGGGTATAATCGTGGTTTACGACGTTATTACAGATTGTTGGCAGAAATACTTGCACTGCCGATTGTTCTCGGATACGCAGTTCATAATATCGGAGCAAAATGATTTTACATGATTTCACGTTACTTTTGGATTTTTTTTTTTTTTTTTTTTGACAATCCAAAGCAAACATCTGTGTTTACAAACTTACTTCTGAAACTAGTAGGAAAAACTCACCTCTTCAGAGCTGCTACGATGATTCGAGCTTTGGGCAAGAGGAGCCGCATGTGCTTGAAGCACCACTGGCCCGTACAGCAGGGCTCCGCGTTTTTCAAAATATTATCGAACCCCTCGTTCCCCAGTTTAAAATACCCGGCGAAGGTGTCGGGCCTCTCTCGCATTGCCGCGAACAAACGCCTGTAATCGCCTTTCGGCCCCATGGCGTTATTTTTCTTATTGCCGTTGCAATTCCACACATGATCGAACAATTGCATGTTCACCAGAAGAACCAGGTTCTTACCCATTGGTTTTTTTGGCGGACGGTACAACATGGTTTTATCGTTATCGCGGTGGGTTCAACAGAAAAAAAAAAAATACACTTTACTTATGAGCACTAAGTACGTATAATATGTATTGTATTTGTGACACGCGCAAACACCTAATGTTCCGAGTGTAAGTATTTGCTCTACGTCGACAGGTGCAACGTAATTTTTTGTAACGAGTTCGCGACCGATGTACAGAAGAACAATTTGTTTCGCCACGGACACAACATACTCGAAGCTACGACGATATTGTCAACTGGCGTATTATTTTTTGTGCGCCACGTTTGTGTCCTCTAAACCGTCGAGATGTGAGGAGCAAAAAAAGAACAATTCGAGGTGTGCACAGAGAATTATACATCATATACATTGTTCATGTAAACACTTGCACTTTGATACGAACACGGTACTTTATTATTGTCAACTTTGGAGCTACTTTTGTTAGAAATCAGCTGTAGTGTGCGTGAAATTGTCTGCTCTGTTATAAAGTGCGAATCGTACTGTCGCTGTTGTTGATGCTTTTGTCGCGGAACGAGCGATCGGGCGCAGAGGAGCTGAACAAGATTTTCTTCCCATCTTTGATGATGCGAACGTGCTTTTGGTTCCGATAAATAACGTATTTTTGGTTCACTTGTTTCACGTTTTTTGTTTGAAGAAAAAAAAAAAAAAAAAAGTATTAAATAAAGTTACTCCAACACGTGGTTTTTTTTGTCTTTTTATACTTCCGATCCAAGATCTTGTACTAATAGGTGTACTGTCTCTTTGTCTCTAAGCTATCAAACTAACTGGTCGATTGCACCGAAATGTCTGTATTTCGTTGGACCTCACATAGTTTCTAATCAGATAAGACGTCCTATGAGCTGCGTTGCCGGCCACACTCGTATACTCGTTAAGTTCTAATTATAGTAAATGACCGAAACTAAAGTGTGTATAGGATAACCAAAATATACCTGATACCCGGGTGTTTCTCAATGTAATGTAAATATGTAACACGTCCTAATTTTCTTTCGAATCTTTCACTCTTGTGAATCGCACGTATTAAAATATCGTATAATATAATAAACACGAAATAACCGAGCATCGAGTGATAAAATGATTCATAGGAAAATCGAGAAATCGTCAACTATGTAGAACTTCAGTGACGGGAATTTGCAGTCCCGCATGTAGAGATAACGTTTCAGATATACAGCATAAGATTTTAGGCTCAAGCCTCAGTTGTGAACGCTTCAAGTATTAATTCATAGTTAAGTAATTATTAATTGATATTTTATAATTGTCAGTGAATATTTATTTTTAAAATAAGAGTTGATGATATCAAAAAAATACTTTTTTTAGCTTAACAAACCCAAAATCTCAATGAATCAGAAATTAGCCTCTGATTCTGTCTAAATCATAATGTGTAGGTATATATAAATAAATTTATTTCAAATCCTGCTCTGAATACACTTACTTCAATGTGTATTTCCAGTTTTACTGAGAATACATAGTTGTCTCATCTGTTAAAATTTCCCCATACCCGAGTAATAGTGTATTACTTAATTTCTTTACATGGTGGGATATTTTATTGCTTCAACATTTATCAGAAAAAACGCAAGCTTGTGGGTAATGATAAAAAATATGGAGGACGAAAGTTAAAAAATTTGTTTTGTATGGAAATAAAAAGGAGCTTGCATTATGTTATAGAATTTATGTGATATTAAAACATAATAGCGCAAAATCTTGTATGCTTCGTTCTTATAGCCGTTTCGATTACTTCCTCATTTAGCATAACAATGAAAAAATTTCAAGAGTAGGAGAACGCCTACTTTAGGTGTCTCATAATATTAGCTCATTTGTATGATAATCATAGAAAACAGTCAGCCAATTAGCCTACTTCTTACCTGATCATAGCATCATCTCTAATGAAGAGTAAGTGTTGCAAGATAGAAAGAAAGTATGGTTCGGCGACAGTGTCCATAACGATGTTCTTGAGCAGCTCAAAGACCTCATTGACATCCTCGAGCTCCAACCTAACATTATCGAATCTCTGTACAAACTCCTCGTAGTCCATATCTTTGTAGTCATTGAAGATTTTGAGATGCCTCGTCAGGTCTTCGGACTCGTCCTCACCTTCCAGCGTTTCTAAAATATCGCCCAGACCCGCGCGCGTTATCTCGTTTCGCAAATGCACTCGGAAATCTAGATCTTCGGCGGATGATATTATGGAATTTATGAGTTGGAGACATACTACCTGTAATCATGAATTGAAAAAAAATTTATAAATTTTTTTTTTTTCAATTTACTTTGTGGTAAGCGCAATAACGAATGAAATACATCCCCTTTATTGCGGCTCACCATACGACCACGGTAAATAAAGTCAATCGACACCAACCCTTAAATTTTCATTCTGCTTATTCATCAAGCCCTGAACGATAGGCAGAAATCGATCCTTGCCATTGAACTCGCCGTTCATGGTGATGGCGTCGAGGACCTTTTTATGAGCATCACTGTCAATGAGACAAACGGCACCGAGCAACTTGACTGCCTCGCACATGACAGAGGGCTTGGAGGGCTCGAGGGAACGCGCCACGATGGTCAAGGCCTCGTGGTGGTTCAGAATCTCTTTCATCCCCCCTGTATTGTTCATCACCGCTTTTAAACAGCGAATACACTCGTACTGAATCCTCTCGTATCGGCTGTCGCTGTAACATTGTTCATTTAGCCTATTAGTTATCTTGAAATCAACAATAAAATAGAGTTTGCATGTAGCACCAAAATCTATAGGGCATCAATACAGTAAGTGGGAGAACAACCAATAATACTTATTTTTTGCTCTACTTTCTATACAAATAGACCAAGCGAGATGCAGTCTTTATCAGCTCTCCGAGGTTACACTTTTTACGACTATTAACAACGTAGGATTATTATAAATCGAGAAACTTAATTCAATACAGATCGTTGAAAAATCATGTCCACTTAATCAGGTGTGCATGGTAATAAGGAATAACAGGGAAAAGCTTTTAAGTGGGATTTTTCAGTGATCTCTATCATTATGAGGAAAAAAAACAACTAAAATTGAACAAAAAAAATTACAGATGCATACATCAAAATAAACGTCAAACTAAAAACAACAATATGGACACAACAACATTGATAAGTGGCTCAAATTACCTATTGTATATCATGAAAGCTCTGTAATAGAATAAAGTCAGACATTAAATTTACTTATCGTCATTGTAATCAATGCTATTAAAACTAACATTTAAGCGAACTTGACACGATAATTTATCTGTTCTAATGTACCTAAATGAATGCATTTTAATTTTTTGTTTCTTTCTCCACCCCTTGCACGTTTCACGTACAAACCCCCGGAATTTCATAAAATTTTTGCATTTTCAAATTTATATCAAGTACGTCCGATTAAAATAATTTAATAGTTTTGAAAGTCAAATTATTTTTACCACCATTCAAACTTATATATACTTTTGAATTTTTCCCGCTGTATAAAAAAACAAGGTCCACGTGATCTGCCTAGACCAATAATTAAATCTCGAATAAACAGGCTTAATCGCGTGGCCCATTAATTGATAACAAACAATTACCAAGTGGGCTTTTTTCATTATAAAACATATTAATAAGGAAAAAAAATGCACACTTACTTCCGATAGCATTCGTTAAGTATAACGAGGACCTGCTTGAGGCCGTTGGTGCCGAACTCCTGGACCCAATTGAGCGGATTGTTGGTCAGGGCGATCCTTAGGCTCTCGATGCACGTGTGTATTTTGTTGACGCTCAAGTCCGGTTGGGACAGGTACTGTATGTAATCAGCCGGTTTGTCGAATTTGTTCCTACTGTCCTGTATACTGCCTTTGTAATGCAGGATCAGCATCTCCTTTTTCTTCCTCTCGGACTGCTTCCGCAGTGGCTCCTTTTTCTCCTCCTTAAGGTTCATATTTGTCTGAAAGAGGATGAAAATGATGCACATACGTACACTGTATATGTATATATTATACCAGATCGGAAAAACAAAGTTGCCGATACCAACCAATAGTTCCTCAAACTTTTCGTTCGTCGTCTCCTCGTCCATGCCCTCGATCATACAGCGCTGGTGCTCGACTTCGTCGAAGTCGTCTCCAGAGTGTGGCCGAGGCAAGGTGTTCGACGTGGAACCACCGCCTCGGCCTGGCCTCTTTGGCCTTCCGAACCATGTGTCCAGCTGCGCGAAAAATTTTATATTATCATTATCGTTTAAAATTTTTATTTTTTTAGGACACCCCCTAAAAGCTTGTTGAATAACAAAAGTACGGTTTGGCCGTAATGTATGTCGGTTTATCATTGTATTATTTTTTCTTCGATGACTTATCCTTGCGGTTACAACTTTTTTGTCTTCTACGACAAAATGTACGAACGTGAGCAATAGTATAATTTTCGATAACTCGTGAAGAAAACAAACAACGCGGGAGTACGTGCACCAGACGAGCGTAAGTATATATCTAGGTCTTTTTTTTTGTTTGATACAACTGGCACAATAAACATCACGTCGACCACAGACGAATTATTTTCAAGTGACATCACAAGTAACAGTTCCATGCAAATCAGAAACCATATGATTTTTTTTTTTCCATCTAACCGCACGAGCAGTATATAGGTACTCCAGTAATGCTATACCATCATAATTAAATGGAATTTCGTGCGTGAATTCAATGAAGTTTCAGTAATTATTAACTCGTGCCTTGAATAATAATGTAAACGTATTTTAACGTTTGCAACACAATGTGCAGTAGGCGATAAGGTGAAGCTTCCAATTATTATTAAGTTCGTTGAAAAAAGGCATTAACAAACACCGGAAATCTGGAACACAATGCCCAAGTGTAATACGTAATCTAAAAAAAAAAAAAAATTGAGGCCATGGGTATAGAAAACTGCGGTTAATTGGTAATGAATTTCTTTTTTGCATACTTCATACACGTTTTGTACTCCCGTGAGTCACGCGTAACACCAAAAGTGCAGGCGTTAAGTAAGATATCAGAAATCGAAAGAGTACGAAAGCTTTGTAAGTACGTGGAAACTTTGATTTAAAAAATTCAACTTTTTGTAATATAACCGATACACCTATACTACACTACCTACCGATTAAAATACAAATAACCATCGTTCTTTTGTTCAAATGCAAGGTGAAAAAAAAAATTCACCTGAAAAAAGTTCCAAGGAAAGGCACAAAAAGCGCACCGCATGTCGATTAAAACTACTCAGCAGCACATTCACCAGACAACTATGACAAGGAAAAAAAAAAAAAAAACTATCACTTTGACAAAAAACGAATCACTCGACCCAACGTTTCGCGAGTCAGTTAATCAGCCACCGCGAAAAGTCAACGTGCTACTGAGCCGAGAAAGATTATACGCATTAATTAAAACGCGACGTCGACGACAGTGTGGCGTCGCTATGAGTTTCAATACGTGAGGACACGAAAACTATAGGCACGCCATTGTTATTGCAAAGATGATATTTTCTACGATCCTCCTCTGTGCGATTACGAAAGCGTTTTCAGCAACGGGCTATTGTCACTCTGTGCACGTGCCGATACGACGGTCCCCCTCCTCCTCCTTGTCGAATCAAAGTCACACACGAGAGAGACCAATGATTTTTTTTATTATTATTTCAAGTAAGCTATAGCACAAACGAAAAAGGTATCATCACGTTTTCTTGGTAAAAACGGTAATCGTCAAAGATAACGTCTGGTCGTAACGTTAAAGAATCGATAAAATTGCGATAATTTCTATTATCATCGGTATTTTTNAGAGCAAACATACCCTTTCGAGTGATACATTATGGAGAATTTGTAAAATACCATATTTTTTCCCCATTCGTCACCACGTAGTCACTATCTATACGTTATTATTATTATTATTATTATTATTATTATTATTATTATTGTCTCCATTATGTACTATGTGACTCTAATAAAGATGTTTGCACCAAAATTTTCCCTCATGGGTCGGTAACGCTCATAAGGTAGTTTATGTATTTTGTACATCTATACATGAGATTCTATACAATATATGTATTGTGATGTGTGTATATACACATGCACTAATTGATTTATAACCGCTTCATCGACGCTACCGCCTCTTGTGAAAAAATGTAGGGACAAAAGTATTACGTGTTTTATCACAGGAGAGGAGAAAATATGTACGCCTTGTGTACTTGGAAAACAAAAATTTTACTTGTGTAAGATAAGCGGGTGAAAACAAGTGTAATCGTGAGCTACATTTGAACAAGTGACAATTTCTTCATGGTGTAATATGGAGCAATGGAAATTAGGTTGTTCTTATCAGTTATAGTGTCAAGAATACGTGGGTCAAGTGGAGCACCCTACACCTGTTCCCCGTTATAGTGGGCTTTGTCGTAATTTTAGAAAATTTAAAGTGAAAAAAAAAATGTCCCTAGGTAAGTATGGAAAACTGACTGCTTACGTCACACATGGTTGTAATATATAAGAAAATTTACTGACGATGATTTACGCAAAAGCTGTAGGTATAGAGTCGAAATGCGCCAATCGTGTTTGCGTTCGCTTTGAATGCACCATCGATGCGTTAATTAACTTTGCATACAATATAAAACATGCGGTGCAGCTGTTTGCAATCATAGGCGACGCGTGCGTGCGACTATATTTATATAGATACATATGATATTGTGCCATTTCGATTGGTTGACAGCGCACGCACGAGTATATACATACATATATATACGAAGGAATTCCCGCTGACAATCGAAAATTTTGTTTTCAATGGGAGAAGGCACGTCGGATTATTCGTGCGATTGTTTTGTTTGCGTGTACGCGTTTGTATACCTACGTACAAACATTTTTCAAGACTCGGAAGTAATGATTTTTGAGAATATTATTCAAAATTAAAAAAAAATGGATTTAGAAAGCTACGTGGTTATGTGTTTATTACGTAACGAGTAGTCGTTGAAGCTGTTTGCTGTCACGCAGCTATTTTTATAAAATTACGATGCGAGAATTAAATTCCTTTTCTTCCAACATAATTTTGTTATGACAAAAGTATTAATTGTCATCGTTCTATAAATGTCAGTGAAATAAAAAAAGTAGTAGATGTGAGGCGAATTTTTTTCACACTCTCAAATTTATTTATAAAAATTTATCAAATGGCCATAAGCAGCCTGCAACATAATAATAATAATAAGGTACATTCGTAAGAATTGAAGAGAGTTTTATGATCAACGGTATGCTCCGAATTATTCAGAAACACGCAACTTTCCAATCAAATTAAATGATATTACGACGTTACTTCCAACGTAAATATTTTGCGGGTTATAACGAAAGGTGAGGGAAGTTTCGCAATTTATTCCGAGAACAATTCGAGTGTGTCTTTTAAGAAAATAAATAATTGGCGATCAAAGACACAATATTTGCATTCTTCGGATGTTAAATGTTTGTCGTGCCTTCTTTGTAAGATAAAGAAGAAGAAAATAAAAAAAAGCTTCGCATATTACTCTGTTGGTATTGTAATGTTGGTACACCACGAAAGCGTACTCTAGAAGCTGGATTAAATGAAGACAGACGCTACTCCACATCTTGGAAAACCTCCACCACCGAAAGAGTACACAGTAAATCCATTTTTAAAGCTAGAACTCGAAAATAAAAACCATTTTTTTTTTTTAGCATACACGCTTACGCCTATTCCATCTCCTTTTTTTGCAAGTGACTTGGCTGGTGTAGGTGCGTCATGCTTTTGCTCTCGTTGTTTTAAAAACGGAGATTCGACACAGCTAAACGATAAAAAAAAAAAGACCTATACGACTCGCGATTGAAAGCACCGAGTACTGCAAGTGCATATAGTGGTATATATGGACACAGTATTACGTGCACTTGAATTCCAAAGACATCGCGAGCGCGCCGGGAGTTTTGAGACCCAATTACAAACAGCAGAAGTTTGTTTTAATTTCTTAAAAAAAAAAAAAAAAAAAACTGGTTTTTTATCATTTCACAATACTCGATTAACGCATATAATCACAAGAATTCAAATAACTTGTCGTACTTTGATCAAACGAAAGGAACGCGAAGCAGAAATTATTTTCCATTTGCGCTAGACAAACTAAAGCGTCTTACCCATTGAGGAATCATTCTGACGACTAATGTCCAGTGACATGTGCTCCGAAACCTCGTTTTTTTTTTTTTCTTTCTCTCTTCCGAGCCACCACTTGTGAATCTGCTCACATACTGCAATCGCCACTCGGCTCCGTCGTCATAAGTAAAACATTAAACACCGCGATTTTGAAAGTTTGCAACGAGAGAGCGCCTCGTATGCGTTCGGCTTCACGAAAATGCGTTCTGGCTCACTTTATCAAGCCGCAGTCTTTACCTTGTTTGCTCCTTTTTTTTTTTTTTTATCGATGCGATTATTTATAACGTGTTTCGTGAGCGTATAATATACAATGAGAGGCCTTTCTGAAAACAGTATCGCCGAGATAGCGATCGTGTGTGTCTGTACAGAAGGAACGAGTATTTACAACTTGACAAGTCGATGAAAAAAAAAAATTAAGTTTGGAGACTCGAAACGTGGCAGTGATGATTTAACGTTTGGCGACTGATTCCAAAGTTTCGCTCAATCGCAGAAGTAGAGCAAACATACCCTTTCGAGTGATACATTATGGAGAATTTGTAAAATACCATATTTTTTCCCCATTCGTCACCACGTAGTCACTATCTATACGGTATCGCGTAAAAGTGCCCCGATCAGAGCTGATTCACGTATACAGGCATCGGAGAGCCATCAGGGAATAGGGAAAAAAAAAAAAAAAAAAAAAAAAAACGCGCACACACGGAAAACGTACGTTATATTCGGTAATACCGTCGCTGACGCGCCTCCGTATATTTATAGGAATGATCTGCTCGTTGTATTGCAGTACCCATATATATATACATCGTCATTTCTTCCTCTCGGGCGAATTAATAATAATATATGCAATGAACTCGAAATTTTCCTTCGCGGCGAGGATTACTTGTGTACACGGCGGCTTCCTTGAGATTATCGGCCGGCGCTGCTCTTTCAAAACAATACCTCACGCGCTACTGGGTTTAAAAATATTACCTGACGTAGGCCGGATTGACGTTTCGAACGATTCATTTTTTCCGACTCGGAGAAGAAGAAGAAGGAGCTTTTGTAAAGCAAACCGGAGGATGGAACGAGT